ACGAACTGTTAAATTAACACGAACGATGCAGGATGTTGATTTCAAAGGGCGGATGTGACCGATTACTGCAACGACGTCGCTCCATAACTTAATTGGCACGCGGGTAAAACTCACCGGTCTATTGTGTTGCGAACACAATTTCAATGCCCCGTTGGAAATTCCGTTCGATATTCGTTCCTGCATTCAGTTATCGCATGTAAATATACGTGAGTTGGTATCGCAACTGCGGAGGTCGTGTTTCGAGAGGTTCCGTAATCAGAGCTGAACGAAATGTAAATATCGAGGGGCCTTTTCGTCTGGAGTCACTCGCGTATAATCCGTTAAGGAAGTGGTATTTGACAAATAATCGACGTCTTAAAAATATCACAAGACGAATGTTAACAGCGAGACGAGAACAATTCTGAAATATTTTTCCTTGAATACGGCACTAACGAGACTAATGATTACATTCTTGCTTGTTCATTACAATCTTGTATACCTTTGTTTTTATCGTTTCCCTCGTCCGAGAGGAAATCTCGCGAGAAAGCATCCGTTTCAGCAAGAAGTAAAGTTATTCGTTTCTGAAAGTAGTGACACTGGGAATTCTAAGCGAAATGCAAAAGGTACAATTACCAGAATAATTGTCGTCTCGTTTGTTTTCTCGGTTCTTCAAATGAGATCGTTACAAAGTACTGCTTACATCCATGGAAATGGTGCAAGAGAAAGATTTGATGTCCAACAGGGAGAGAGGGACAAAGAGGCTGAGAGTATGTTTTTCTCACGTAATTAGCCACTTGGAGCAAGAAACGGCTCTGGATAAGAAAGAAAATGATACTGTCGGGAACAGAGAAAAGGATGTTTCTACTGAAAACGGGAAAAATAATTAACCCCCGCCGTTTTTTTTTTTTTCCTCGTCGTCTCGGCGCCTCTTTTTTTAGAACAAATTCGTATTCGAGGTTTAATCTCTTAACGCGTTAATCCTGAATTTGATTTCACTTTCATCCTGTTGAATAATAATTTATCTGGCTCTCAATAAAATATGAAGGGGAAAGGAATAATTCGAAAGGAAAAACGTAAGAAAGTCTTGGTAGTTAGAGAGAGGAAAAGTAGGAAAAGTCTCGGTGGGTGAAACGATGCAAGATGGAAAGTTTGCTGGTTCGGTTTGAATTCGTTCATGTTAAACGTAAGTAGAGCAACAGAGAGCAAAGTGGAGCAGTTCACGAAGAGAGGAATAGTTCCCAAAGAAATATCCACGTAATACATGACTTTGCTTTAAATTGCACAAAGGTACCTTTAGCGATATAACATTTGGCGCGAACACATCTGCTCTTCGACGCCTGCGATCTGTAATACGGTAGGTTTTTCTTTGAAAAATACCTACAAAGGGAGGGAGAGAAAGAGTTTCTTTGTAGAACATTTTTTGGTCGTTTACTCGACAATGCGTTGCGTATTCTGTGTCACATGATTATACATGAAGGCACCTCTTGTTGAAAATATAGAGAAGATACGCGGACGAAATCATTGTTCCTTTTTCTTTTTTTTTAATCTACGGATTTCGAAGATACTTTTTATGCGCTCTGCGTTGTATTTGTGAATCGTTGAAATAATTGAGAGAATAGGGGAGGAAAAGTGAAGGAAGAGGAACAAGAAGGAGGGAAGTTTGAAAGGAAACGTGGAGGAAACAAGACCCGCGCCATCATTCGTAGCACGGTGAACTTAACCGAGAAACTTGGTAACTTGTTTCTTCTATGAAAATGCATCGCTGCAGATCTAAAGATACCGGGATACAGGCGCGAAAGTACTCTAGCGTTTTCAAACAAGATTACCTTGCAATAAGATTTACAGAACTGCTGGTACGTTTCTGTATAGCCTTCTTACCGAGACGAACCACGGATATTTTATTATACTACCAACTTTCCGCATCATCGTTCGTTGTCTTAAATTCACCCATTCTTAGATACAAAAAGAAATATGAAATTGTAAGAGCTACGGATCTGCTGAAACGGTATTGTCGATCATTTCGACCCAATTATGAAACTTAAAATTACAAAACTTTGCGATTACTCTTTAATTGCTTTACTGCCGGGAGGTGACCTGCGCCAAGAATTTAATCGAATAACTGGAAGAAAAAAAAAAAAACTGATTTTCTGGTTGAAGTAAAGGGAATAGAAGGAAGGCGAATATGTTAATTAAGTTAGAGCGATGAATTCAGGAGAGTCGTACGATGATGTCGCACGAACGACTGTTTACCATTTACAGTATAAATTTTACACGTTACGATAAGTAGTCAAACTGACTAAAGTTTCAACCAGGGAAAACTAGTTTAGAGAGTAAACTCTGGTCCAAAGTTTGTAACTCGTTTCTTCGTCGAGGATACATGATTTGGCGAGAGAGTTATAGGTTTTCGTTTAAATTGAAATTCTTGAATGTTGTTGTGGAACGAATACCATAAATACGAGCAGCTTGTTAAACGAATGTTGTTTTATAGGAAAATTCGCAGGATAGAAAAAGTATTTGTCAAATCGAAAAGCTTTTCATGGCCGACGTGTATTGTTCGTGGATCCGCGCGTGCTTCTTCTTTTATATTTTTCAAAAGAATTTTTATCAATAGAGAGGTCTTTTTAAACTTTTCTGCCAACGTGATCCATTTCGTATGCTTTTTTTCTCGTATTCATTTTCTGCCGTATATTGTATTAAAAGAGAACACTACATAACAATTCTTTCCAAACAGAATTGAATGATTCATTACATTGGTATTTGTATTGATAGACACACAAAGGATACGCCATTTTGGAAATTTTAGTCACGTTGCTTGAAAAGCTTCGCGTTACTTTAATCGAAGCCGTGGGTTTAGGTTTTCCATAGAATAAACGATGTTTCTAAAAATTTGAATTAATGAAAGCAACTAAAAAATTCATAACAGCTACTTCGGGTGAAATGAAAATTATCATTATCTTAATTTTCTATCAGATACACGGGGCAGGATTGTTTCGAAGCTGATTATAGATAGTTACACGTACCCTCAACGAGTACCATTACAATTTCCTTATGAAATGACCCAAAGTTAACTAAAAGTACGACGTAGACATGGAAAGGTAGAAATCGTGTCAGCAAAACGTGCTTCCGATCCGACTAGCTGTTACAAAAGCGAATGGGTTAACTAGCAAAGTAATCGAGCCCACTGTTCTTTGTAAAGAAATGTTTCTAAATTTTTCATCCACAAAGAACCGTGTGAAATGCATCGATTTTAATTAAAAAATTAGTTTCCTCTTTGACGAACTATAATGCACAGTTTACAGGTGGATCGTTTTTATCGATTTTCGATGTAAAAAAAAAGTACATTGTACTTTTAATACTAACGACAAACGTTGATGAAAATCTACACGTGTTATAACGTTTCAAATTTCCCGTCGTTGAAATTTTCAATCGCACGGCAAGACACATGGGGTGTGAAATTATTCGATATTGGACACCGGTGAACTTTAACCAGAACCGTAGCGAAATGCTAGATAAACGGTGAAAATTTATGAACAAGCATCAATTGGACTGCTGACACCCGATCAGAATGAGTACGTAACGAATAAAGAGGTTTTTCGTGTATCCGACATTTTTTCGCGCATCGGAACGTATTACACGTTGAAAATGCGAAACGAGTTTCGTTATAAACCAGGGAAAATTTGTATTTAACTCGGTTCATTAATCAACTCGATTTATAATTTTCAATCAATACGCTGAGCGATAGAAATGAAAATGTTATGTTATGAAATGTTATGAATTTTCCTATGGCCACGATATTGATACACGAAATATTTCATCGAGATGTATCTTATCGATACAGCTACGAGATATATTTTCTTCAGATAAACATATGTATGTATTTTTCTTGGGGCACAGTTATATCAGTTTTTTTCTCACGCTACGTCCAATCCTTTTACTGTATTTTCTATGCTTGTATAAAAAAAAAAGGTTAGAATCTTTCGAGTAAACAATTCTGAAATGTTAGTGGTACATAGTGGTTGAGGCAGAAAAGAAAAATCAGACAATCGATTAAAAGCAAATATGTCCGTCCTATGACGTGTGACGTTAAATCTGTAAATAGTAGAAATTCAAAAGCTTTGGAATAAAAGAACCATGGAATAAATTTTGGGGTTGAACCGTACGTCTGGAAGGATCGTAAAAGGATCTTTTCGGACTCGAGGAATCGCGAGTTAAATACATCAATGAGGAAACCTTTAGCCGAGCACCGAAAACCAATAAAACTCTAACAAGAAATACAGAAATTCCTTGAAGTCACTCTGATATCGAAGAAGCAATAAAAGTCGCCATTTCTTAAAAAAATGAAATGAAATTCGTATTGTCAAAATTATTCGTCACGACTCCAACAAATCAGAACAAATATGGCAAGTATAACGCAGTTGAGGCTAATACAATTTTTCTTTCAAGTGTACCAAAGAACGGTATTGAAACGTCAATCAATTACACGTATACGCATTGTACTTATTAATACGTAATGCGCAATACATAATCACAGGAATTTATAATTCACATTAACAATTTATCGAGTAGGGTGATACAGGAGAAAATAGAGGATTACGGCTAATATCGTATAACCATTTTCCAATTATTGTTAAATTCCACAATTACATCCGTTTATCTTTATAACAATACCTGTGTCATTAATATCACGATACCGTATGAATATTTAGTTTCAAATTATTACATATTATGTATTTATAGTTAAATTTGTTTAAAAGAGTATTTTAATTATCTTTAATTATTTTTCTTTACCAATCCAAGCAGACCACAAAATCAGCGTTAAATTATCCGGTTCGCTTAATTAGAATAAAAACTGTTTTCCTCAAAGTTTGTTGCATAAAGGGTTAATTACTGAGGCGATTAAGCCTGCCAGATAATAAGGCGGCTGTGTTTAGCCTCTCTTAATTCATTAGGCGTTCAGAACCGTAAGAAGGACGATGAATATTTGTACCCTTTCAAATTTCGATTACTTTTACAATTTTCAGGAACCAACAAGAACAATTCGAACATTTCAATCAAGTTATTCGTGAACTTCCTGACAGAGCCATGGATTTACCGATTGACCTAAGGTATTACTGAAGTATTAAAGCAGATCGTAAGATCGCCTAACAATAAATTAGAACGTTTCATCTTCGTCGGTCAAGGGACGTTAAGATTGCAAAAGAGCCAATACCGAGCGACACTACCGGCAACGAAAATAAAATCGAGCAATCAAACGGGAAATCGACAGCTTTAATCAGCCCCGAGAAGAAAGAGAGCCCCATGAATCCGTACAATCGGGCGGATTGGTCGAAAATGAATGCGAAATGGTCAATTCCGGACACGGAGGACAATGAGATCAACAGTGTTAACAGTTTGTCGCAGCTTGACTGCGGTGCATTCCCGAAATCGTACATGGACACGTGTTCCTGTTGCCCCCGGGATATCTTTGACAAGCACGATACGGATACCATTACCAGTTACAAGGGTGTTACGTTCAAAGACGGTGGTTGTTGCAAGCTCCACTGGACGAGGAAGGAACGTTATCAAAACATCAAGACGAAAGTCGGTAGAGCTATCAAGGTAATTGAAACTTTAACTTAAATTCAAGTAAAAAGCAACCGAGAGCTGTTCGATACGAAAGCTAAGGGAACAGCAGCTTTAAGACGCTTTAAAGAACCGGGCACGCCTGTCGTTTTGCAGAGGCACAAAATATTTTTGATACGCGGCGAATTGCCGAAATTGAAGGAAGCTTTGGAGAAAAGAGGTTGGGTGCAGAAATACGAAGCCACAAAAACAAGAACTCTACCTTACGGTTAGTTTCCCAACCTTAATTAAACTTCTTTTTTCTTCCCCCCCCCCTAAATTTCACTTGGTTTAATTAAAAATTAACCGCACGAGCCTCGCTCGAAACGTGGAAATTTAAATAGAATCGTTTCTAATTTAGTATAAGTTTTCGACCAATTTTTATAGGCTTCTTCGTGCGACCGCCGTAAAAACTTTGAGACTTTAATTTACTTTGAATAATAGCTAATTTCGGCTGGTCCTGAAATTTTTAGGTAGCGTGGCGAGCTTAGAGGCAAGATCGTTAGGCGATTTGACCCAACCCGATGGCACGTTGAACGAGAAATCGGTGGTTTTCGCTTTGTTGCGCCACAAAGCTCCGGATTTTATATGGGATTGTCGAAACGACTTCGTCGACTGGCATCGTGGTTTGAGCAGCAACACCATTCTCAACAGATACCAGAAGCCATCCGTTTACACATCTAAGGTTAACACCGTTGTTTCCTTTATTTCATTTTGCGAAAAATTAAACGAGTAAGCCGACTGTAATTAACTCCTTTTGTCGTCACGGTTGGTGTGCAATAATTACACGTGGCTCGACTTTTACGTATTTGCCACTGTGTTCTTTTTATTTTTTTTTTCAACAATGTATCCAAAGCTTGTCGACTGAATAATTTAGCTAGGAATGGCTCGTTTGCTGGAAGAGGCTCATTGGTTGTACGAGAAGGACGTCTCGAGCGTGTTGTTTCCTCGCAGTTACAACTTGAGCAGGGAACCGAAAGCTTTCCTCGATGATTTCCGTTTGACCGCCGCGGTCGGTCTGCTAAAGTGGTTCGTCCAAACGATGCAAGACGATCAGACCGCGGTACAGAACCACGGGCAACGTCTGATACCGATAAGTCGGCTGGAATTCGCCGTAAAACGTTGCGAGGAATTTATAGCCTGCGAAAACCACCAGGATATAGACGAGGACTTTGTCAGCGAGTTTTCGGAAGAGGAATGGAATTCCTTCTTGGACGATTATGCAGCTGCGGTGCACGAGTCGGGTAGAATCGAAACCACGTCGGAGAGAGGGGAGGAACAGTTACAAGTACGATTATCTCGCGTATATCGATCAATTAAGTTGCTTAATAAAAGGGAAAGGTTTTGATTAAACGATAAGAAGATTTAGATAAAAATGTAGAAATTTTTGTGCCCGGTGTGAGAATTATGAGAACGGGGCAGGGGGATTAAAGCAGATGTCAGAAAATTAAAAAACGAACTCGCCTCGCCTTTGAATCGAATCGCTTTGTCCTCGAAATTGAATCCACTTTGATTAATTTCGACACGCGAGCCTTTCATTTCACATCCTTCCGACGTTTACTTCGGCTTTAGATTAGCTCCCTCGTAAATCCATCCAGTGTACCGATTTATTGCGTAAAATCGTTCGCGTTACGATCGCTTTGACCAATATCCGCTTGTATACTTCCCGTAGAAGTATCACGAGGTGGCAAATTCAACGCTTGAGAAATTGAAAGAGGTCGATCCGCAGTACGAGCTGAACGGAATGAGGAACATCTGGATCTTGAAACCGAGCGAACTTTGTTGCGGCACCGGGATCAGTATATCTCATAATCTGAGGGATATATTTCGAAGAGTGAAGAGTAAACCGAAGGATTATTTCATCGTTCAGAAATATATTGGTACACGAAACGTCGGGTTGATTCGCTTTTAACTCTTTCGTCTCTTCTTGTTTACCTTCGAGACACTCGATTTATCTGTTTCAGAACGTCCTCTGTTGATTCACGACACGAAATTTGACATAAGGCAATGGTACCTGGTCACCAATACGTTCCCCATGACGATATGGTTGTTCAAGTAAGTAAATCAGAAAAATAAAAATAAAAAGAAAAAATATACGACGGGAAGAAAGACGAAAATATGAACAAGAAAATGTATTATTAAACGGGTTCGCATTTCGAAGAGATTTCATGAAAAGAATAAGGGTACTCGAATTTTTCTGGAAAGCATTTCTCTGGTCGAGCTTTCTCCAGAATTCCATCAAAGAATTTTCCCGATCCCCTCTTCTCTCCTTTTCCATCAGGGAAGGACTGCTCCGGTTCAGCTCGAAGCCGTACACTTTTTCAACTTATCACGAGGCGATTCATATCTGCAATACCGCCATTCAGGAAAAGTACGACGAGGAAAGACGGCGTAGGAGGAAACGCGGGACTTCGGAGGAAGTCGTAAAGACGATCCGCGATCAGGGATGGGACTGCGACAAGCTGAACGAATATTTAAAGTAATCCCTCGACCAGTGAACCCTTTACGTTCGATCAATTTTACCGATAGCCTGCCATTTAAATAAGTTTATTTAAATCGTCGGAATTGTGCATGAAAATTCCTATCGAATTTAGACAAACGGGGTACGAGGGTGAACCGTATTACGAGAAGATCTATCCGAAAATGTCAGAGGCTATAGTTCTAACGATGTTAGCCTCTCAGGAGCACATGGACAGACGGCGATGCAGTTTCGAGCTGTACGGAGCGGATTTCGTCGTGATGGAGGACCTTTCGGTCTGGTTGATCGAGATCAACACGAATCCCAGGATGCACCCGCCTAGCTCGAGAATCACCAAACGTCTGTATTCCAACGTGCTCGAGAGCTTGGTTAAAGGTTAGCAAACTACCATTCCTACAGGGATTCATAGACAGAACGGAGTTGATGGGAATCGGGGCTGCGGGTGAAAGTTTCCTAGGATGATGGTCAAGACAACGAGCTGGTATACGTCCTCGGCTTTCCTCGTGAACACTCGAACGAGCTTTTGAAATCGTCCGCTATCGACTGTCGGTTTCTGGCTTCTGATTAACCAACTTTGCTTCCACGATATACATATACAATCAAGCATCGAGCTACCCTCTCGCTAATTCATAAATTTCTTCCACTAAAGTTGTTAAAAAATTATTTTTCCGCAACTCGAAAAATATCCTTTGACGGATTTAAGAACAATAGAACAATTGAAAACAAAGTCCAGCTCATCTGACGTTTTTTCCACTGTTCAATGGCTATCTTTGAGCCTCTAAAAAACCTCGCTTTTCCAACTGCGCGGTCGACCGTTAATACAAACTGAACAAACATAAATAACTAGATAAAACAAAATGCAGAAGGTCTTCAAAGAATCTCTCTAGCGGCGATTCTGTAACAGTCGTCGCACCGGAAGCGTACCGGGTCGTGATATTTAGAAAGATCTAAATACACAACAGTTGTTGGAAATACGAGTGGAAAGAGTTGAACGCGGAACAAAGCAACGATTCGCGATCGTATATAGAGTCGACCGCGGACGTGTATGTACGAAATGCACTCGACCTCGTAACGACAGCGAGGCGAAACGGAAGGGTTGAACGGGGAATGGAGGGAGTGAAAAAATGGAAGGCAAATCGTTGGTTACAGCGGGTGATCTTAAATTTGTTTCAGTGGTAATGGACGTACCGGTGAACGCTGTCGCCGACACAGGCGGATTCAGTTTGGTCTACAAGCAAAACATACCCGACTTCCGGCCTTATCTCGGTCCTTGTCTGTTCGTGTTCGGCAAGTCGATAACGTTGCAGGAACATCCGCGGAAACGCGAGAAGAAGAAGAAGGGAAACTGTTCGTCGAAGCAACAGCAGCAACAGCAACAGCAGCAGCAACACCGTGCATGGACTGCACCACCGATGATTCCACGCTTGAGAGAACCAAAAATAGTCGACTTTATCGACTACTTGAACACCGCCCGATGCACCGCCGCCAACTGATGCGCCTGCTTGTTATCCTCCATGCATCCGCCCACCCCCGACTACAGCCTCTTTCAAAAACGGTGCACGCTATAAAAGAAATTCAAAGTTCCTCGATCAGATTTTCAAATTCTCTCATCGGAAACTTCATTTCGGACACAGAGAAACAATTAACGTTTATCATTAACCGCTACCGTCATCTCACGGTGGTAGCTATCTTTTTTTCTTCTTTTTTTCTTTGGGCTACTTCTACCGGAAATGTCGAGTAAAAAAAACATTCGTGCAAAGTCTTTTATATCGTTCGTGGTAGAGCCGGAACAAACAGCGCGCAGAAGTAATGCTTTGTCTTCGTGAAACGTACGCGAAGCACGCGTCTGAGAAAAAAAAAATGAATATGTAGCCTTTTCCGCGGACGAACGCTTTATATAAAATATTTTGTCGCCGGAATAGTAGACGGCGAAGGGTTTCTCGTAAATATCACCGTCGAGGAAATACAGAGAGAATTTTCCATAAAATTTGAACGCAAGTATTTGGTATCGGTATCGCATTTATGAACGGGAATAAATCAGATAAACTGCGAGCGTTAAACATCCATCGTTTGATTATCCTGAAACGGATATCGGCTATAAAACGTGGCGGAAAAAGGAATTCTCGACAGCTTGATAGACGACCCATCGAACCGAAATAAAAAAGAATCGACAGGTAAAGACAATCGTTTTATTGATATGTACATACAATAAATTTATTTACAAATAATACAATAAATTTTGACGTCGTAAGTTTACTCGTTTCTTGATGATATATCTTAACAAAATACTACGCTCTTACCGATTATTGTGCCGTGCTGATATTCGAAAAACTCTTTGGTCACGGAAATTTAATGTAAATGTTGGTAATATCCGGTTTTACCCTGCGCAAATATATACCCAAAGAACGTTTAACGACCATAGGCGATGGCGATCGAATGAAATCGCGCTGTATTATCGTATCGGGTATGTATTTATCTTTCCTTCTTTCGTCTCTTCTGCCGTTCTTCCCGTTATATAAATATTACGTTAGCTACTATTAAAATTATAAAACACATCGGCCGTGTCTTGGCGTACGACGAACTTCCGTCCCCGTGATGCATCGCAGCCGGATGTTCCTCTGTAACAGAAACGTTACGTTCGAATAGTAGGACATTATCTAATCGTTTCAACTTTGTTTCAGATACGTCGTGAGCGCTTTTCAATTTCAAAGCGTCGCATAGGTGGAACGTTTCGAACAATTAAGAGAAAGAACAGGAGCAAACGTTTGCGAGCGTGTACCAGTCAGGACGATGAGGGTAATAAATCAACCTGGTGGACGACGTGTCGCATCGATCTGAATTCGCGTCAGGTAAGACCGTGCATGCCATTGTACCGAGCAATTAACGCTTGAAGTTGATAAATAACATACCGGAAATTCGGCTTAACTTATTTCGAATTATCGTTCAATCCACTCGTTCGCGTTCAGTCCGACGATAAGGCACCCCTTAATAATTTATACGCCACGGGGGAAACAATTGTTAGCCTGTTCGCGGCGGTGGCTGGTGGCAACAGGCGGTGTACTTTAACGAAATCAGCAAAAAATAGAGGTGGTAATTAACACTGATCGCTGTTAAATCGTGTCAATCTCATGCGAGATGTATCGCTGTTTGAGAGAATTTTAAACCGTGAAAAGCGGTCAAATCGATAACGCCTTCTAGCCATTGAAGAAGACGGATTTAAATATTTCACCGAGATATCAATCAGGTCAGGTTAGGTAACTTACCGTTAACGACGTGCACCTTGATGCTGCTCGGATTCGCGTTGCTCGGAGCGCAGGTGTAGATCCCGGAATCGCTGGGCACCGCTTTCTGGATCATTAAACGACTCGTGGTTTCCGGCCCCTTTTCGGTCACCAGACTGATACCGCCTCTCGGCGAGTCGAAATTAATTACCTGCATCGATAAATTACAATTACGTTTTACAAGTAGATTTTTAGTTTGAAATATCTGACGGAAGGGAATGCTATCGTCGAGTAGAATTTCGACACCCCGGCACTTGGTTGCATTGTAATTGCTAACAACCCGTTAAATTGCACGGGTCGAACGGAAACTGTTCAAACAATTCGGATCACGATTCGAGTATTCAAACTAGAAACGCAGATGTTACCACTTGAACCGTGATACAATTACGAAGGGTAGGTAACTTTGTCGATGTTGATTTTTCAGCTATTCTTCCCACGAACGTTACGTACCGTTCCTCCAACCTTTTACAAACAATTAATTATCCTCTGCTTTATCTTGCAACTACCGTACATTGTTAGTTTAACTAAAGTTAAAAGATGTTGAGGTTTGAAAGGTCGGGTCGTAAAGCTTTCAGAGCATCCTTAACGAGGAAACGATCGCGAACAGAAACAGCTCGTAAATTACTCGTCAAGACTTTACAAACCGAGTTAGAAAAAAGATTAGAATTGCTGGAAGGAAAAAGCTGGTGTATTCCGTTCGATAGGTATGGATTACATGTACATCCGTAGGGGATGTGTGCGCACATCTAAAGAGGAACAATATTGGATCCCCTAGGTACATCCGACTTTTGGTTCGCAATCATTTCCTCAAAGCCAGCCCGAGTCTGCTGCTTTCTCATATTCCACTGGAAACTACCCCTAACCCGTTACCCGACGGATTCTCGCGTTCTACAAAGACAAAAGGTATTTTGCTTCAAGGTTCGCGCGAAGAATGGTAAAAAAGATAGACGTACGCGTTTTTCCTCGATGTATTCCCTTTGAGCTGGCACAAAGAACACCCTGCGAGAAGCACGCGAAATGAACGGGGCTTACCCTGAACTACCCTATATACGCGGGGTATTATTACCTCCACCGACACCGTAGTCCACACTATTTTTTCATCAAGTTTCTCATCAAATTACCTCTGTATCGTGACTCCAGATCATCATGGGCGGTGGTTCTGGAGCGTATTTCACGATGCAAGTCAGATTAATGGTGCTCCCTTTGTTCACGAACAGATCGGGAGCTCCGACTATTATGGTGATCGGTTCTGAAAGGAAATATATTCGATTTAAGAATAAGTGGCGAACGTGGCGAGGGAGTAACGAGTAATTAAACAAGCGGGACAAGATATATAATATTAAAAGAAGGTGGTATATTTTTATCGCAAAGGGTAAATATGAAAAGGGGCGGTAGGTTAGGCAACGTTTTCAGGTCAAGTCAGTGCGATAAGATCCTCTCATTTAATAGTACGGCCCGGTTAGGATATCAGAGCAGTCATTAACGGGTATACCTGGCGAGGATATACGTGCTTGCTCGCGGACGGCCTGGTTTCACCTGCTTTGTATGCCCGCATGAAAATCTTTCCACGGATTTCGTACGTATCCTCTATTAACCCCTTTCACGGCGTCGCAACACATCTCTGCGTCTATCTTGAGCTGAATTTCAAACACACCGATCATAGATACGGCTTCCTTACCCTCCCGTTTCTTCTCCCGTTTCGATAAACACGTCGTTTTAATCTTATGAATAAAAGAGTTACTCTCATAAATTCACCGCCGGCATATAAGCCATGGAAAATTACAAGATTAACGTGATACATTTTTATTTGATCACCTACACATTGACGGCTATTATTAACAATATATTACCACCTTGAGAGCAATTTTTATTTTAACTTCGTCCTTGTACACACGGACTTTCAGGTGAATTTATGAATATTTTCTAAAATTATGAAATATTTCACAGCCGTTGTCGGTAATTATCGAAGAGATAAGATACGATCTTATTTATTGCGGAGACTCAACGTCGCGTGACATTGTTATAAAACGAATAACGTATCGAAATCGGTGAATTAATCGGCCTACGTGCTGTACAACTCATTAAATCGGTCAGATATCGGCGTTAAACACGATCTCGCGAATATTCCATGGTTTTCGAGTTTACGATACCCTCGGCGCAGGTGTCAACTTTCAAAGTGAATAACGATTGCGCTCGTAGCGAAACGATTTCTCTTTTAATAATTTATAGAACGATTTTCGGCCATGCCGATTGCACAGCTGAAGTTTTATCGAATTTCACGGTGGTTCGTGGTGGAAATGTTTGCTTTTATCTGATCGAACTTACCAACTATCGTTAGATAAACAGGATGACCGATTGGGGGTGTCGTTGATATTTGGCACTCATAAATCCCAGAGTCCTTGCGCTGTGGATATCGTATCTTCAAGGTCCACTCTTCGGTGTGAGGGTAGTGCAAAGCTTCGAAACGTTGGTCGCTGGTGTAGGTGTAACGACCGACCGTTAACAGGTGTATGTCTCGATGCCTCACCCAGGAAACCTGTCGCAGAATATCCTTTTTTAAACAACGTTTAGTGGCCACTGCGTTTCCAACATGCTCGTCAAACGACACTTTTTAAGAGAAGTACAAAGTTGAGAGGGGGTGGAGATGAGCTCGATGTTCAGTCTACTTTCCAGTTCGAAAGTTCGTCGATCGAAGGAAAAGTAGGACAGACAGAGCTAGGATGGCAATTCGGTAAATGCCTTTCAATGCGATCGATTTGCACGTTGATAAACAGAAACAGGAAAATACATTACGATAGCATTACGATCGTCGAGAATATTTAGAAATCAGATATACCAAAGTTCGTCCACTAGTTTGTCTAGGACAGAGGCGGGCAATTGTTTTGGCTCGGGGGCCACTTTGTGGAAGCGGAGGTTATCGGAAGGCGGCACCTTTTAAAATGATTCCATTCGTTAGTTTTCTTTGCATTTCAGAAAGGTGTAAATTTTACCATAAAAATCATAGGGAACTGTCTTGGCGGGCCAGAAAAAAACTTTTAGCGGGCTGCTATTTGCCCACCCCTGGTCTAGAGAATACCGGAAAAGCCGAGCACGATTGAACGCCGTAAAACAATGGGACATCCGGTTCCTCTGATTTCGATCGAAATACTTGCTTCTCTCTCCATCCGGGATTTTTTGTTATTTTTTATCGCACGCATCCTTTCGTCGTACAATATGTATCCTGGTTCGAATCTTTCGTCAATTGTTAGTAAAATATATTATTTCGGTTAAAAGCATCAAAAGATTAAAACATCAGCCCGGTTATTTGTTAGGCATGCTTTCCGCACAGATCAATTGCGCGAGGGGTGGTACGTATTTCAATCGAGCGACAAGTTCAATGAACCGTGAACATAATTCCGTGGAGTGCATTCGCTGGTTTACATTTACATTCGATTGACCTTAATTGCCGCTTAAAAATTGACTGGCAGGATTGAAGGACGATCGAGGATATCGCATATCGAGTCGCTCGACTGGTTATACCGAAAAGCTCGACGCATTGTTATGGAAGAATTGTCTTCTACGAGACAAGAAGGAAAATGAACGAGCTTTTGAAAAAAGTGAAATGCATTTCGTTTGAAACTGGTGGGAAAAAAATTTCCCTGCTCTCCCGATCCCGTTTACTCGTGAACTGGTTTAACTTTCGGAGACGAATTCAAAGCGAAGAGTGAAATTAAAAGGTTCGTTTTTCACGGCTAAAGTATTCCACGATATTAAATTGCGATGACCTACTGCTGTTTAAATAACGTTCCCGTAAAACGTGATTGAAAAATTTCGTTCCCGTTTATTTCCACGATACTCCTCCCGTTTATAGTTACGTTTTTCGTTATTATTACTATTTACGAAACGTCCCTGTTTATCTACCGATGTTCGCAATTTCGTAACAGGTCGGATTAATTTGAACGAAAAGAGGGACGAGTATAATCCCGGGTAAGATAGTCTCGGCCCCTTCGATTATTCGAAGGAGTTTCGAGTGGGCGTGACAAATGGAGTCCGATAGATTAGGCGTATTCTTGATCGTTGCTCGTCGAAATCGAGTGTCGTGTTGGAATTAAAGTGGGGGTGGTAGGAAAACATCGAAGGAAGAGACTTAGCAACCTAATACAGAGGGTAGTTTATCACGAACGCTTTTAATACCTTTGTCACTTTACTTTGCGACCATAGGGTTGCAGGAAGAAGGGTCTTTTCCAGGGTATTACGTTTCACGGGTGCATCAAGGAAATTTCCCCATAACGTTGCGCTTCCACTCGAGACTAGGCGAGGCTCGCCGGATGTGACGTCACCATGGAGATTCGGCATTGTCCCGGGTTTCGGCCGCGAACCTGGCAGCTGCGAGTTCTCGAGATGACACCGGTGTGTCATCGGCATTAGTCGCGGTATTGTTTGCTGAAATCCGACCGAAATCTATGCGCGATCGCCGTTTTCCACGGAGTCCATCGCGTTGCATTTGCACCGGATTAAAAACCAGTAGAACCGATGCTTTCCACCCTTATCCACTTACATTCGCGCCATCTGCCTTTATCGTCCTTTAATTCCCCCCCGCGACTCGATCGAACGCGTTAAATAGCTCGTAAAGTGAAATACGATATATTCACTGCCGCTGTTTTCGAGCAGGTACGAAGACCTGTGTGCCGTCGCAGTTACACGAAATAACCGAGCACCGAGAGAAGAGATCAACGGTGAACGTAGGTAAATGTCAAATGCATGCGGTACTTGTAAGGATACACAAAGACCGTTTGAACGAGATTGCATAGGACGCATCGAAGATTCAGCGAGGATACATTCGCGCATCGTTTCCAATAACATTTCTCAGTGCTTTTTATCCTGGAGTCGAGTCGCAGAATCCTTTGATACCGCTCGTAGACGCAATGCTTCTGGGCCGCGGTAATATTCAGAATGAAATGTTTTGTAGTAGTATAGGGACGCAATTATTATTCGAGGCCGGTGCAAAGAACCCGTTGTACACGGATAAGTTTAACGCGTTTTTCCTTCTGCCAAGCGTTTGTTTGCGCGTAGAGAGGCGCTGTTAGATGCTCGTCTTACGACTTCCGCTTCCATTGACGCTCGCGGGTATTACAGGCTCTTGCCGTGAAAGTAGACAGCAGGGAAAATGGGATCCGCAAGGGAGACGGAGAGAGGATAGATCTCGAGAAAATAAGGACTCTCGGGTGATCTTTGTCCGGATAAAAGAGACCGGGTTTACGCCTACCACGGCTTCTCGTACGTGTAAGCCCGCGTGTGCCAGCAGCTCTTCTTTTCTCTTCCCGTGCTATCCGAGAAGAAGCATGGAACGTTGTAATGATCTCGAGACCGCTTTGTTCCTGAACATCCTAATCCGGTTGCAGTTTGAGGTACGACCGAGAGAAGAGAAAACGTAATTTTCTTTGCTCTCCGAAAATATGAAATCTGATATTCTTTCTTTCGTTTAAAATTTCTTCGATATTTTAGAGTGGTCTTCGAATATCTGCAAAAGTAATCGACGTTCTGCCGTTCGTTAGAATCAAGTTGGAGCAAGTTGGAGCCAATTGTAATTACTTCCATCGGTGAGGAAGCTCTAAGCCAAAGTCAAACTGCCGTTGATTAGCTTGTGGTCTCTGTATGCCTACTAATGAAGACCACCATTATCGTCGGCTGTGTATTAACAGCGGGTTCTTAGCTGCTCCGCCCAAACATACCGTGATTATGTATCTTCGCCTTTGAAAGCTACCAACTGTTTCTGTTTCCTAGCGTGCATTCGCCATCCCTGTACGTACGTACCGCGTATCATAACCACCGTGTCCCAATTAACGGATTAAACGGCTCTTCACAGAATCCTTACAAATAAACGTTGCCGCGTTTCGCTTGTTTGAACTGCTAATACCTGCGCGACCGACAGATTTCGTCGAACGGCGAGGGACGAAACGAATAGAAATGATATCGTTTACGACTCACTGTTCGATTTCCTAGGTTCTTCACTTTGCACACCAGCTGCACCGTTTTGCCCACCAGACCGGTGAAGTTCGACTGCATGGAGCTGTCGAAATGGGGCCCTGTCCCAGGAGTCGGCCATTCCTCCAGAAAGTCGGTTCGAAAGTTTCGTAGACATGACGCTATACCACCTGGGAAAATAAATTCGATCGATTAGTATTCGATTAATAACAGAACGAAACTTGGAACGCGAGCGTCACTCGATTAGACGTTGTGAAATATTGACAATTTTCTGACAGTTGCAGTCAACGGTATCTTACATCCCGTTACCCGGATGCACTCGTTACGTTTAATCTCGTTAAAGCAGTATAGTCGGGGTATAAATAGTTAACGAGATGGAGATAGTCGGAGAAGGGGGTTTGGAATTGAATAATCTCGAGCTAACTGGCTGGCTATTCAGTTAAGCGATCTCTCTCAAGAGAGAGCTTACGTAAAGACTGTGTCTATGGGACACTTTGAAAAGGCCGTGAACTTTCAAAGAAATTAAAACGCATCAACTAGCGTGCATTTTCATGACGTTTGAAGAAACATTCAGTCGAACTAAGGGATTATAAAATTTATATTCCTTTCTGCAATACCAAGGATTTCTATGCATTTTCGATAAAAACTGTTACGTTTTAATAAACTATGGGATAACATTTGTATTTCTGGGAAAAGAACAGGTGGAATTGCAAATCTGATCATGGGTTCAAAGCGGAAATCGGGAGGCACGTTGAAACGCGAGGGTTCAACGAGAAAAGCTGAAACGCGAACCGGAATGCAATCGAGCTTTTCTTTGCAATTGCTTCACGGAATCATTTGCGTGTCGAGTAATACTTTTCCGGTAGAGGGAATTCTCTTTCCTCTCTTTACACCACCACCTCGTAGACTACATTTTTTCCAAAAGCGATTAATCCATTGATTCTTCTAAGATTGAAAATTTTTGTATCGTTTCCGATTAGCCAATTAACATTTTATCGCGCATTTTTCCTCGGTTCTGTTTCATCGGGGGAAGGAGACGTTTTTCAGAGTGAAGTCATTTCTTGCGAAAGAATTTAAGAGCAGACAGTGCCGAGAACTCTTCAAGTTTCGAGTCGAGAGAGTATCGCGCACTACGGCAACCACGATTCCGTCGCCCGTACTTCGACGAAAATTAATTTTAACCCGGGACAGTACCGTTGAATTTTCTCTCCGACGTGTCTCGGCTCTCCTCGAAACTCTCATACACTCGGTCGACCAACAAAATTGCACCATCGTTGTCTAGAAAATATTCCCAGTCCGGTTTTACTCTCCTTTCGTCGGCCAATTTAGTCGAATTCTTGGCTAAAACTTTACTTTTCCAGCTTTCTCGATCGTGAACACCGGCAATCTCGAAAATTAATTTCACGCCGGTATTCCCGTGGACCAAGTGTCTTTTTTTTCTGCATATTTGCATTTATCAACGCGGTATCACCAACAGAAAATTAGACGTTATACTTTGCTCTCTTCGTTTTGGGATTTAATTTTATCGTCGGTCCGGTGGTTTGTTCCGAAACAGCGATTTTCGCTAAATAGATTCTAAATTAAACGATTCCGGTGATCTGTGTGATAATTACTTGAGTTAACGAATTCATAATTGAAAGCTTCGAGGACAACTATTTGTTATTTTAACATTGGGATCAAATCAGTGTTCCGCATAATTTTCTGTCCGTCGCGATGCGTCGAATAAAAGATGGTTTCGTTTCGTATAAAATCAAAATAAATTTGACGATACGAATAGCACAGTTTATTATCTTAATGATTACTTTAATGCAATTTTATTCGGATAATTTCGGACGCAATAAATTTGTTTTCCGCGTTGATTGGTTCACAGAGGAACGCATTCATTCGATCGGATTTCTGTTGGTGGAAGAGCCGAAAGTTCGACCAGGGTGGCTTGTACTCTGCAGCTTTTTCCACTGGAAAAAGAGGTCAGATAAGTTCACAGGGAGTATCGGATAATCTATAATCAGGCGGCTGGGCCGGAAATTAATTTTACGCTCGAATCTACTAATCCATCTTTGTTCCTCCCTTTCGAACTCGCTCCTTTTTACCTCCGATTCACGTTCCTTAACTCTTCCGGAACTTTGTCGTGGCATTTCTGCAATTGCAATAATTACCTTGCCAGAGTACCTGCATACTTTTCCGTGAATGAAAATTTCACTTCACCAGCGAAATGAAAAGACGCGATACAATTACGTTTCATTGAATAATTCGACTGTTCGCGTGACTTCTAATTTCAGCTTTGATAGGATTTGACGGAAAGTTCTATTAAACGCTGGGTATCCAATCAGAAAGCAATCAGATTAACAAAGAGATTGTTCAAACACTTGATGAAAAAAAAAAAATAAGCAAGAATAATGCTGTAACAATGAAACCGAAAATATCGAACGTTTATATCGTGATTAAAATGTGATATTAAGCGCAAACTCTTTCGCGATACAAACAATTTTCGTGTCGTTTCGAAAAACGGTGCTGATGATAACGCTGTTAATAACAATGTTGACGATATGTAAAATATAATTGTCCTTTTCCATTTGAAATTGGGATTCAGAGAAGTTTTTCAAATTAAGCAGCAATTAAACATTAAGAAAAATGTAAAGTTGCAAGATAGTTGAATAAGTAATTGGTACGTCGAGTCGAATAACTTTCTGGGAGAAGAGCTCCTTGAGGCGCGGTAACGTGGATTTTCCTTTGCTCGTCACATAAAACGTCAACTTCCCGTCATCCCTGTGCCGGAACTTTGGAATAGCCTCTTGGAACGTTGCAGGACCGAGTGGGATGACTCGGCACTAGCTTTATAATTATTTGAAGCATGCTGGTTGCCGCTTGTCCATCACGGCTAACTACCAGACGGCTTCTTCTCGACAATGAAGGACACAGGATGGTTTGGTTGCCAGCCGCAAAATCCTATTTCGCTCCACCCTACTTTGCCACCCTCGCCATTACTCCTCCCGCTATCCGAATGCAGGTTTTACGAGTGGTTCACTCGACTTTCATATCCCTTCGAACTTTTTCTCTCGGCCCACCTAACTCTCGTTTCCCTTCGTCTCGTCATCGACTGTGACGTTTAATTAGGCACGAAGTCGTTGAATTGTTTCCAAGCAGATCTTGTTAATCGTATTTTTCACTCGAAACGAGAAAAAAAGCGAACGTTAAAATCACTCGTATTAGTTCAGATTTATTTCACAAGCTTCGTTTCATCGGATTCGCTCTACCCCGGGGGGAGGAAATATATTTCATGTTCTCTTGGATGTCCCTTGCGTATCCTTCGAATGTTTCTACGTTGCTATTTTTTCAATGATCCAATTTTAACTCAGCTGAGAATAGATAGCCGTCGATAGAGCAAAATAATCTCTGATAAATTTCAAGCTAGGTAAAATTAGCTGAAATGTGATCCTGTTTCTCTCAGTGTTTGGTCGACGGCAACCAGCCAGTCCCAAGGCGGGTAATGAAAAGCAAACGAACGGTCGAATCGACTCGGTAGCTCATCGAAAAAGGCTAACATTGCTTGGCTTTGCTTCGTCAAATCGGCCTCTTGACGCTACTCTACCGTGGTCTCGGGTGAATTACTTCGGTAAAATGGGATGATTCTCTCGTTACGCAGCTTAGCAAATTGTTGAACATGAAGTATCTTCAGCTATGCCTTCGGATATTTCCGATATTAATTATGTTAGAAACATTTTCTAGTCAAACAAAGTTAGCACCACCATCACATTCTAAGGGGTTAAGCCGTTTAGTTTCGTTCCTTAATGCAAGACGATACTGTTTTCACGTAGAGGAGCATCGACGCGAAGTGTAACCGAAGAAGAAAGTAAAGTACCGGAAGCTCGTGTTCTAGCCTTATCCTCCGGCAAATCGGTATTCTCGATCGATCGCGTTACGGCTGGCCGGATACTTTAATCCAACAGTCTTTGTATGGTATACAGGGATGACGCGAAGAGCGGATCATTATTTTCGTTAACGCGCCGCTTTGTCCGGGCCGAGAGTCTTGGATCGGGTTGGTTAAGTGGTGAACCGTAGGGATGAAATCCGACGGTAAACCGATGGTGCAGCTCTAGCCGTTGCAATTAACCGCGTCGTTTCACCGAGCAACGTCATAAATGCGAGAACCGTGCAGCTTCTACGGGCTCTCCGATCGTCCTATAAACGCCTACTACTTTAGCTTGTATCGACGTTTCACTGCCTCCGAATCGTTCCATGGACCGACGATCAAAGTGAATTCGAGAATCCGCCAGCTAGATTTCATTGTCCCCTATGATCCGAGTGCGATTAAACAAGATGCTTCGCACGCGAGTTGCGGGTTAGCAGTTTGCCGCACTACCCCCATTTTCGTTAAGACGGTAAAACGATGCTTACCGAGGCATTATTTAAGAAACGATACGAAACGAAATCGCATAATAAATTATTCAAATTGAAATTGAAATTCAGATAGTACATTACTTTGGCAAACAAGAAGAAATTCATAAACAGCGATGATTATAATCTTTTTTAATTTCACCCCTGTCATCGGCAAACGATCTGTAAATCTAACCGTTAAATTGTTTCTGTCGTAAAAACGAACGGCTGACAAGAACAGACCGCAGCCAGGTTGGCGAGAGAGTTTGCGGAAAAACTTAATTCCAGGTTAGCCAGCATTTCGCTGGAATCGTTGAAACCTCGTGTCGTCGAGCACGCGAATCAGAATCCAACCGGGTAGGCGCTTTCTTTTCGACGTTAACTATCAAAATAAAAATGAAACGCGTTGCCATTAACCACAAGAGAACTGGATACGTGGATGTAGAGTAATTCTTGATATTGGACACGATACGGCTGACAATAGCAGCTGAGAAAGTAAAATACTAGCCACCTGACAGTCTCCCGTTATTTCTCCACTTTCTTCCTACATTTCTTCATCTATTTACGTATGCATCTGTAAAGGTGCGCGTTTTAAATTACCTTATTGCAAAAGCTGTTTCTTTTCACGCGAAATAAAAAGATAAACGAGTTTGTAGAAATTTCAGAACGAAAAAAGGATAACACAGTTACGATCAATAGGTCGATTGTTCTTTGCGAACGTTGAAATCAAAATGGAATATTTACAATTCTATTGAAGCCCTTTAGCGGAAAAACTGAAGGGAAGAAAGTGTCGAGTAACGAGTATTGTATAAAGGGTGAAAAGCAACAGCGTAAAATCGTGTTTTCTTTCAACCCTTCGTAACAATCGTCGCGAGTTTTTCAGGTTTGCGGGAACGTTGGCCTGCGAATGCGTTCGTTCGCGAAGAAAAAGCATTGTAACCGTTCACGGAGCCAGCTCTCCAGAGAAAATCTCGTCGAGAGGCGTAGGAAGAAAAGTGAAACGCGGTCAAAGACGAACGAGAAATTATTTCTGCGTTAAATCTTCCCACTGTTATCCGTTTCTGTTTTGTCTCGAACACGAAACGCAAGATCTTTTATCCCCTCGGTCGAGACGGACAACGGAGTCCTCTCCATTACTCCTCTGATCCGTTTCTCTTGATACTTTGAAGGAGTCGTTAGGATCGTGGAATCACGATAATAACGAGATTCTCGACAGAATATTTTGGCTGACTTACCAAAAGAAATGATAAAACAGACGATCACCGGAAGAGAAGTAGACATCGCTTGTTCCTCGGCGAGGTTCCTTTCACATATTGATATACTATCTCACACGCATTTCAATCATTGAACCCTGCAGTCACGCATCGAATGGACGAAATAGTTTCGCTGGCACTGATAGTTTCACGAAAAAACTGGCATTTCACTCGATCCTCTTCTGAAATCCTTATTCGTCACTGTTTTAATCGATTGAAAATGTCTCGTCGGTCAACATCACCGACAAACGTTTAACAGGGAAAAGAAAGGATATTACAACAAGTATGAAATCTTACGAGCACACCGCGTATTCATCCCGTCAACTTGACCGACTTTGCTCGTTCTTTCTCTGCGGCTAAACAAACGGGCAGCAGGAACGGGGGCGGTTTCGAATTCCACCGGGCAAATTATTCTCCACAGTGGCAGGGAGAAAATGTAACGGGAACGTTGCTGTTACGCGAACCGCTAATGAACGTAATTAACGGCACGAGTATTTTGTCGACGTTAGCGTGCCACTATAGTCTCTGCTCGTATAAGATCCGACAAAATGACAAGTAGAGAAAGAGAGTGAGTGAGAGAGATAGAGATAGAGAGAGAGTGAGAGGAAGGGAGGAGGGATAACCACGAAGGCTTTCATATGCCTTTTCACCACCGCAACATCGTTCGCGTTGCATTAGGCGTCACTCGTTAAAGTAATTTCCTCGTTACACACGTTTCATCGACCGTTCTCTCGGTGGTCGCGCGTCGTTACACCGTTGCATCGTCTCCGACTAGCCCGTCGAACTTGTTTAAAGCATCATCGGTCCATTGTCTGCCGTAGGCGACAGTTAATCGGAGGAGTCGATCGAGCGTAAGCGTTCACCGTAACTTCGAAATCGCTCGATATCCCCGTTTGTCTCGATTCTTTCGAGCGTTCGAAACGACCGCGAACAGCAGATACCTTTTTCACCCGCACCGACACTGAATGCACAACCGTGTCACAGAAACGTTCGGCTAAACAGACCTCGAGATTATCGTGCTTGATACACCGACAGCTCTTCAGCTTCGACGTCCCATGGGTTTCGATTTTATATGGTTAATGGACGAGTACGGATATGGGTACAGATTTGGAGGGATATTTCGACCGTTGGCAGTATTCTACGTTTTAGACACCAACGATGCGTTAAAATTACAGTTCAGTTTTATGAAATTCGTGGCAACTCTTCGAATCTTCGAGTAGATCCGCTTCGTAGATCCAGAATCTTCTTTCGTTAATCGTATCAGCGAACAGGAAGTTCTTCTAGCTGGTTGAAATCCAGTTGCTCAGCTGCATTCAGCGGGAATCGCGAGGAAAGGAAAGTTGGTGCCAAGTTCGATCGGTCTGAAAACGATAACCGTACGTCAGCCAGTTTCCTCCGTTGAGACCAGCCGATCTCTGGCTAGTAATTCGTGGCCGATATTCGATTTATCCGGCAATAAATCGGTTCGATGTATCCAGAGTATGAAAACCCATCGAACGTCGATCGACGTTCAAATATCTCGCGCGCGTACATCCATGTCCGACGTTCACGAATCACAATTCACCGGTTACGTCACCACAACACACTGGCAGGATCGATCTGTGTATCGTCATTTCACGATTGGCTGCACAATCACGAGGCTGATTTATCTCCGGTATCCTGAACGAAAGTTTCGAAAAACCGAAGGTAATCGTGTCGACAGCGAAATGTGGGCGAGCGCGGAGGGAAACGGTTTATCCATCGGAATTCGACGGATTTGTGGAAGAATCAGGTGGTTCGAAGGTGGATCAGCGCGAAGGTTGTCGGACGTGTCGTCGGCGGAACGCGCGCGACGGCAGGAGGTCGCGGATCTTTCGAAACGACGATGCTCCCGCGTCAAGGATAGCCGAGGGACTACATTGCGCGAGCGCCACTCGGGCTTCGAGCACGCAGCCGCCCCGTGCAGACTCCACGAACTCCGTTACACCACCGTCCCACCACCCTTTCACCCTTCTCCGCGGACCCTGTACAAGCCACCTTCCTACTTCTATTCTATCATTGTGTGGGTCGAAGCGCGTGCGCGCTCACCTGTGCCCGCGTGTCTATACCTTTGCTTATATATCAGCCCGTTTTCCCACCCTTCTGGCCGCCACCCTTCTTCTTACATTATTTTCTCTCCCTCTTTATCCTTATTCCTACTTATTCCTGCTCTTCCTCTATTCTGCATCCAACCTTGCTTCCCACCTTCAGTTTCTCTTTCTTCTTCTTCTCCCCCTTGTTTCGTTTACATCGTCTATCTTTCGGATCTTCCTCGCTTCTTCTGTTTGCTGTTGAATTTTTTTCTTCTTATTTATTTCTTCTCATTCTACCTCCTTTCATGTCAATTTTGCCTTTTGTATTCTGTGTCCCTCGCGATCACGAAGGTGTCGGGCTTTGCGTGAGCCAAGTCTTAAACCTGAGCCACCTAGTCGAATCGCTTCGAATAAATTATACATTAAGTGGAAGAATTGAATGAATCCGAGAGGGATGTAACACGGTAAGAGCGGGGTTTATTTGCAGGTGTAGGTGTAAGGTGGATTCATCGAGCAGCTTTGTTTTCTTTTTTTTCTTAAGTAGAACCTTGCATTTTTTACACGAGACTTGTAAAGAGAACTAACCCGTGTATGTATGCGTTTTGTTTCAAAGATTCTGCAAGATTCTTTCGCGATAAAGAAGCGAGCTTCCAGGTTTTCTTACGTGCCAGTAGCGAAGAGTTTACAATAAACTGAAAGTTTCTTCGAAAAATTTACGGTATCACGGCCTGGATAAATCTTTCATGACACGGAGATTCGATCTTCGTCTCGTTTTTCCGGGAAATGTCACTAGTATAAGCGTGAAAATTGATATTCGACTTGAATTCAGGTTAAATATCGCGAACGTCGATTCGAAATCCAAGCATTGTTAGCGCGTTTCAGGGATTCCAAGAATACCGTTTATCCTCTAGTGGCAAGTTAATCGGTGAAAGATCCTTCTTTCCGCATGTCCGCCAACCAACGACCGCTGACTGACTGGCTGAAGTGACTCGTATAGAGGCTCATCTATGCAAGATCGATATGTATATTCAAGAGTTCTGAATAGCCTGCGTGTTTCTGCACCGTAGGAAATTCATTGTCCATCAAGCATCGACTCCACTAAATTCCGAACAACCGCCTTTCGATACCGTCGATTACACGATCGATAAACATAGAGAATTACAATTTTTCAAAATTTCATCTGACACAAATCTCGTAATCGTTTCGCGTGAACAGGTGGTCGTCGATTTATCGATAAAGCTCATCTACGATGCTCGTAGCATTTTAATTCGTTATTTCGTACATCTAGGCAGACAAATAAATAGAGTTATTCTCGTTCGTTCGTGTCGCAAGGAAGAACACAGATGCAGTTGATGTAGTAGCGAACGCGGTCTGGCACGTTTCGCTAAGAGAAACCGATGAGCATTATTTTGCGCTCGATGTAAAACCGCTGTTTCACTTCTCCGCGCAATTTTCCCCGCTTATATGTGGAGCAGAAGATCGACGTATCCGGGAATTATACGCGTGGACGTGTGCCAGAATAGAGGAACTCGAGCACCTCGTCATCTTCGGTCAAATTTTAAGGAAATATTTGTTATTTTTCTCCAGTCTTCATTGTCGATACGAACACATCGATTTCGTTGATATTTCTACGTTCGAAACCTTTTGCATAGGCTGTTTGTCAGCTTTGCCATTACGCGGTCGCGTCCATTTGCGAGCGGAAGCACTTACGCCCGCTTCAAAACTAGCAAACCAGTTTCATCGACGTACCGATCTTTCCCTAACGAAATCGTACGGCTATTAGAGAAAAAATTATTCACCCGAAGTTTGTATATTTCGCTTGTTGGGTGTCCTGTTTCGATCCTTAGGTGACTGAACAAACAGCTGATCGCGTAGGTGTAGATGCACTCGCAGAGGGGAACACGTGTACACACGAGGATGTACACGCAGCAAGCACTATCGAACAGTTTCAGATTATTTACACTAACGTTTATTGCGGTACAAGAAGGGCCAAGGGTGAATGACCTCTTACAGGGTTGATAGTGTTTGCCGAGTGTACTTACATGTACCTAGACACGACCCTTTGTGCTAGTGCTAGTAGTTTCTCTGACCAAGCGTCGGTACTTCTTGTCTAAGGTTTCTGCAGGTCACCTCGAAACTTGAACAATCAATTTTCAATCGTTTACAGCTGAAGAATAATAAAAATATCGGATTCCTTTGGAATTTGCAATTTTTTATAACGCACACCACTTTTGAGATTCTCTGTACGATATTAAATTTTGTGAATTGTAGAGCATTAGGAACATGGTTCGGGTACCTGAAGTACATACGAAGCGAAGTTACCAGTATCGATCGAGTAGCTTCAATACAGCCATGGCAAGGGTTATGGTACAGTGAACCACTTTATAAAGGAAATATAGAACGATACGTTTCCTGGCTGCTCTAAAAACAATCGCACACGCGACGGATTTTCCTCGTAGAGGGTATAAAAGTATATATCCCTCTCTTTCCTTCCGTTCCTCTTCGTCTCCCTGATTTTCTTACCCTCTCTCGAGAATATACCCTTCTTCCCATTGTTGCGTTATTCCTCGACGGTCACTATTTTCCTACCGGCCTTCCTCCTAGTTAATGGAATTCATTAATCCTATCTGCCAGAATAGCCACTTCGTTATTCTTATTTAAAAGATGGATCGCTCGAATGTCCGCCAGAACGGCATCCATTAACGCCGACTGAATGATGTTCCGTTCCTTTTATTTTCTTATTTTTCAACTTACCCCTCCGAAGTTTTGAAAAGGAACGTTTTGTAGCCAGACTTTTTGGTACGTCGTTTAAAGAACAATGCCACTTTCCGGGATTATTTTATCGACGTCGAAAATTATCGTTCGATGTATGAAGTTCGAAAGTTGATGTAATATTTGAACGCGTTAATAGACTAAAGCGTTAACACGCATAGGATCGACGCTATGTTTTAATTACGAATAACGCAGCACGAAGGACGAAATCAGTGTGCCTTCCGTTTTAATCTTCTTCATCTAATCTTCTCTCCTCATCCACCGTTCCACGGTTAACAATATCCCGTCCCCATAGTTCGTGGCTGTACTCAAGTTCGTATCAGTTAATTAATTCATTAGAGAAGTCTCGTTCCATTATAAGGAGTAAGCCTAATTACCTGACGAAAGAGAAGTTTAAGAGCTCTCTCGAGAGTCGGCACGCGCATCAAGCAACGATTTCCTCTAGGTTTGTTACCTCCGTTTCCATTTCCTTTGAACGTCTCAAAGAATTTCCCCGTTTGATATTTCTTCAGAGCTTTGCCAATGTTTCGTTAAACGAGGAGGGCTGATTCTCCTAGCAATTATCGCGAGATCCTCCAAGACTTTCGGAACAAAAATGAACGTCAGCGAATAAGTGTTATATGAACAGATGCGATTCTCGGAAATATTTCAACCCGTTGTTCACCGTTCGATCGCAAACATTGTTAACGCGTTTGCAAACTAGTTTTTTATCGCTTAACCAGCGTCGTTCGAACAGGTGAAAGGGAACAGAGTTTCCAACTAGCGTTTCATTGAAATTATCTCATCCATGCATTTCCATCGCGATACAACGACGCGTTACGTGCATCGAATCTCCTCTGGCATGATTCTAGGATCGTTGAACGCTGCTCGATGCATCGAAAGTTCCCGCCACGTTCGATCGCACGTTCAATCGAACAGTCACGCGATACAGTCGTTACGTCGTTTTTCGAGAATCGACTAAACTCGTTTTGAACGGTGCGATACCATGGCTGTGTTATTTTTCGGTTGAAGATCGAAAGAATGAAAAGTAACGAGCCTCTCGCAAGAGAGGCGAACGATTTGGAAGTGGCTTCTATTTCACAGAAATAGCTGAGAAAAGTGTGAAGGTAGAAACCGTAATGAAATTTTTCCCCTTCATTTTCGATAAGAAAAGAGCTCAGCAAGTAGTACAACCCTATAATTGTACCGGCGCCGATGTCTGATCGAGCGTCGACTCGTTCTACTTACCACTATTTCACGCACGCGTTCAATTTGAAATTTGATGAATATTAAACGAGAATGTTCTTCGACATCAAAGAACCTGATTAAACTATTTTTATGTTAAATTTTTGATGATGCTGCGAGTTGATTAATTAAAATCATAGCTACGCTGAAATTGTTCGTGCAATATTAAAACCAAATGAGAGAAGGAACGCTAGACGAAGGTACGAGTAATTTCCGGCTTTGTTTCAACGCGCGATTCTGCGAACGGAACGGAGCGAGACAGTATTTTTCCGTATTTACTCGGCGGAAATCCACACGGGAAATGTTTAAAGAAACGGGATCGACCGAGAAGACATAGGAAGCAGCATTGCCCGCGTGTCAGCGGAATTCTTTTCGACCGGTGCGCGACGATATTTCGTTGGAAAGTACACCGGGAAACACGCGTGTCGTCAATTCGATCAAATGAATTGCTTCGAACGAAGGAAGGAATCGAAGGGAATCGAGGGACGAAACGAAAGGGGACAAAAATCGTGGAGGAAATTTTGCATGTTACCTCTTTAATTTACCGAGGAGCTTACGTTCGAAGGGAATAACTATGGTCGGAGGTTTAATATTGCGCGTAGGTCGCGTAATCTGTAAGCAGCGATTGAGGGCGAGGAGGGTAGCAGGAGGGTTCGGTGCGTCGAGGAAAAAGGAAGCAGCATCTTATCCAGCGGAAAATTGGCGGCACGGTTAAGTTCCAGGCTTGAAGTTCGCCTATTACCGTATATAATAAAGAGCCGTTATTCCGTGGCGCCTCTTATCTCTAAGGTAGCCGTGAAATAAAGAGACGTAGACTGTGCCTCGAGTGGAGAACGAGACACCTAAACGAGAGAGGACTCTCCGTTCCGTTCTGCTCCAACTCAGCCCGTACCGGCGAGAAGCCCACAGGCTTCAGCAAACATTACACCGTAGACAGGGACGAAAAAAGAGGAAGATCACTGGCTGGCTCGCTGATGAGACTCCGGTGAGATACGTTTGTCACCGGGCTGATAGAAAACCTCTCCTTACAGCTTTTTTCCTCGACGAGACAATGGCCGATAGGATGCATTATAAGAAGGAATTAAGGAGTCGGGATCGGATAAGCGGACCGCGGGAAATATTGATGCGAACTTAACGAGATACATCAAGGAATCACTCGTCTGATCAAACGTCGACTCTTTGAACGTTCCAATTTGTTTGCTAGTAACGTTTCCTTGAACAAATGCTCGCCGAATGTCGGTCTATTCTTGACGAAACTCGCGAATTATTCAAACGACAGAAGTGCAGGGAAACTGAAACTTTGTTCAGCAGCTGAAACGCGTATTGGCACTTTTATGCTGCAGCTTATTTTAGGAATTTTCTTTTAGAGTTAGCCCAGTTCTGATAGAACAAACAAGCTAACAGAGTGGTAATAAAGGATACGATTGAAAAGTAACTTGCGTCGGTAAGAAACTGTTAATTTGAAAATCTAATAGGAGGTAATTATATCGTCGAAAAGATAGAAACGTTTTAATTCTTCGAGTCGGGGGAACTTGGCGTTAATCTGGTATTTTGGTCTCCTCCACGCGATATTCAATTAATGTTCACGAGGAACGCAAAATCGATATTCTTTAGCTGCGAGGCACAGGCTTTTAATTTCATAAGCCAACTCCCGAACGAATATTAATCGTAGATAATTGCAATTAGAACTTGCGTTCGATCGAAGATTAACGAATAAATGAATGAAGAAAAAAAAAAAGGGAAATAGAAGGCGCGAAGCAATCAGACGGAAATAAGCTTATTAAGTTTAATCACAGCAAAATGATGAGACAGTAGAATCAGCCGTAGCTAGCGCGGCGTACGATAATACGGATTATCAAAGATATTAAAGATTAATTTTTTTTAATCCGATGCTGTTTCTCGTCGCCAGTGTAATTTTAATAGCGTGCAACGTTTCCTCCCTCAGTTTTTTTTTTTTAATCATTCGACTAGATTAAATCCGATCGGGTTGGACGCGTTAACCGCGTTAAAGTGAATAAGTAGTCGACGAAAAGGCGATTCGGTACCGTTTGCATAGGACATTACGACATCGTTTATCATTTTTCGTTCTCTGGCCAGCTTCTGAAAACGCTAAGTACTCGTGCACGCATTTATACGGTGCAATAAATTGTTTAAGGTCAAAGTACCGCTCCTTTCCGCGCGTTTTTGTCGCATAAATAAACGATGGAAAAGGGCAGAAGGGTGATAAATGCTTCCTATCCTACTGCGCTCTCATAAAGTGAGCGAAACATTATTCATATTCGATTTCCTTTGACCTGCTGCCCTTTTTGCCCGTGTATCGGACCGAGCAAGAAACCGTGAAAGCGAACTTTATACAAGATGTCAAAGAAAAAGGACTCGCAGCTTACGGGATAGATAGTATTCAATAAAATACATGAAAAATGTTTCGTAAACACAGATATCTACTCGTTATATTTTTTCGAGAAATTTAATTCCGTTTCATAACGAAAGTGACGCGTTTGCGAATCAATTATAGTATAAATAGAATAGTGTTTGCAAAATGACGATCGATGGTATTGAACGCAATGATATTTATCTTGAAAGCAGACTTGGAATTCGAGGGTGAGCTTTGAAATTCCGTTTCCACGACGACCGAGGGAGGCAATTGATTAGACTAGCTTAATTTCGACCTTTGGGATGATCTATGCACCGTCAAACCCAGCTCGTCACACTAACAAATCGGTGGCAATAATCGAGGAGCTGTGTGTTATGTTGGATCGAACCCTTTGGCGATTCGTAATTATGTAATCTCGACGCGGAAATTGTGAACTTTCGACTTGATCTCTGTCTTCTCAGTTGTTGAATTACCATGGAAGAGTTTTCGTTGTATCCTCACTATTTTTAACCGTCTTATGTAGTGAAAACAGAGTAGTCTAAAGGAGACACGCCAGGATTCTCTGTAAATCTTCATGGTCCCTTTAAAACGTTTCCAAGCAATCACGAGAATGTCCGGCGAAAACGTTTTTAATTATACGGACGGTCGTTTGGGAAATTAAAACACTGCGCCAAAGCAATGCGTTAAGAAACAGATTTTCGTCAAACGAGTTACGCTTGGTAAACTCGCGACTGAAAGAATTTAAAACATTATACTGAAAGTAATTAGTAATAGCACTGTAATTTAAAAAAGAGGAAGTAGATGGTATTAAAATTTTAGAGGAGTTTCTCGATTTAAAATGTAAAATAAAGGAGCTCGTGAAATACGCGTTGCTTTGCTTCTATCGTTAACCGATAGCCGTTCAATTAGCTTAATTAAACGCTCGAAGCGTCGTATTTAAGATTACGAATTGTCACAGTGCAATCGAATCGACCGTATTACTTCGTCGAAGACGACTGGTGCTAGAAATAACGTAAAACTATTCAGATTACTTTCAGATTGGTAGAATAGGGACAAGATGGTCTAGAAAGTATTCAACCGACTGGATTCTCGCCAACTCATCAGTAACTGCGGGAGGCGATGTTGAATCAAAAAGCGTAGCCATTGCTCGCTTCCCTCGTAAAAAATCTCGCGAACCTGGCTACGTGTTAAATTTCAATTTAACGTCAAATCGTTTTGAACAGTGTGTCAAACGATGAGCCAACGAGTACTTTATTTCTACCAAAATTATGAAATATTCGCTCGTTCCCTCGGTTTTCCTGTTTTCGCGTGAAAGATGCGCTGCAATCTGTTTGTATTTTTCTTCTTTTTCAACCTTATGGATTAATTTATAAACCGCGCTGGTTAATGTTCATATTTCGCCTTGTTATTTAAAGCTGATTACAAATTTTAATCATACACAAAGTTATTATATTTCAGCTGGAATATTCAACGTGTAATGCGGCTCCAACGTTTGTTGATATTTCATTTTTTAAACTCGTTATCGAGATGTAGATAGAGTATTCAATTACTTTAGCTTAAAAAAATTTGAGTAGCAATGAAAAACGGTCGTATTATATTAATGATACATCGGAAATTGGAGCGCGGAACTGGTAATGGTGGATTTCACCCGTCTAGCATTGCTTGCACTGCTAAATCCTGGTAGCCATAGGGGAAAAAGTAGAAAAACCGCGATAACAGGTGCTATTATAGCCCGATGTATTTACGATGGTGGACAGGTAGGTTTTATTTGCAGCTGCGTCAGCACGCAGCCGGCTTCCAAGCGCGTTTCAGCTAGACCCTTGTACACCTGCTAAATGTGAACTGGCCCGTAAAGAAAAAAGGAAAAACGGGAAAACGAAAAAAAGGAGGAAAGAAAGGGGGGGTGGTAAAAAAAGGGATCTTACACGCGAGACGCCCTCTCCGCTCGTTGACTTTGTAATTTAGCTGGTTGCTCCGCTGCGTCCAGACCGAAACAAATATTCGTTTCGCGCACGGCTTGTCGTCGTGAGCGTTCCCATGCTTGCTTTCTACCTGCTACGTCCACCTTTCATGCGTGTCACGTCGCCTTCACCGAAATTTTCCTCGCTCCAGCTTTATTGCTCCCCGGATTTCTCGCGTTTCGTTCCGCGTATGACCCTCGAGATTTGCGACCCCTTCGCCGGAACGTAACTGTCGTCGACGAGCATACTTTTTTACCGATACACACACACACACACACACACACACACACACACACGCGCGAATTTTCTCTCCGCCGGGTGTCGTGAATAGCATTTTCATAGCGAACGACCTGTACACACGTATCTTCACGAGAAACGACTCGTTCAGTTTTAAGAAGTATAACGTCATTTTCATCTCCTCTCTACGAATTTCCAGAGAAAAGAGGCATCGATTAGCGAGAAATTAATACGCTCGTGACATTCGAAGCGAAACTCTCTGATCGATATTGTAATTCCTCGAAAAAGAAAGAGAGAGAGAAAGCTTTGTGCTGTGGCAAGTTCGCTTCCAAGTCTTGCCGAGAAGTTGCCTTTGACTGCAACGACAAAGGTAAAATGTGGATCGAGTTGCGAGCTACTTGAAACCGCAAATCGATGAGTTCGCTTTTCATTTCTTTTTTAATCTTTCAGCGATTTCGTGAGTTGACGTTTCAATCATTTTTGCAGGAAATGCATTAACAGCTATTGTAACGTTCCCTCGTTTTCCTTATTTTTCAATCGAACTATTTTTATTCCGTGATCGATGCAATCGCAGATCACGAATTAAAAAGAAATATTACAAATTTGTCCATAGAACATATCCGAGAACGATAGTGTCAATAAGAGTAGCAGCGCAGCGTACGTCTGACTAATCGTTGACTTATACTACTTGCTTCGATCGCCGCTCGCCTCCGCGGTGGTTAATTTCGAGTTACACGATGTGACGCAATTAAAATTGCTTGCATCAACTGTACGGGTAATTAGTCTCTTTCTCAAATCAATTAAAAGTTGTCATTTCAACGCGATGAGAATATAATTGCGATTTGCGTTGATAACCGGTCCGCGAAATACTTACGTACAGCATTTTTCTGCCGACGAAGTTATCAACGATAAGATCTTTAATTGTCTCATGGTCGCAGGGAGGGGTAACGATCGATATTTAACGACTGCGAAAACGAGGTCGAGCGAATCGGATGAGGAAGAAAAATCTTTCGAAGAAATTACGTTACAGAGAGCATTGAAATGTCTTTCAGTAGTCACTTGTAAGCAAAAATATCTCAACTAAATATAAAAATATCAATCATTTCTATTGAATGTTCGCGTTTATTTGATAATGTGTAGATTTATTATAACGTCAATGTTTGCTTTTATTAATAACCGTTTAAATTTCATTGCTTGCGAATACATTTACTTATCGAATTAGTATGCGCATACATTGGCTAGCGATCGCATACACTTCCTGTAATATACAAATTACATAGTAAAAAACTATTAGATTGAAAATTCAGAAATTCATTCGGAAGAAATAGTAAAAAAGTAGCGTAGATATTCGTGGCAGATTTTTCATTTAATAACATTCGCGCGTTCCTTCGAAGTAATCGGTATTAATGGTAGGAAAACGTCAATTTTACTTGAATACACAAAGCGCAACGAGATTATCGATTCCTGTTAGACGCAACTGACCATCGATCGACGGCCTATTGAACACGAATGGACGATCTAAACTGGATCGTTTCAAACGATTAGGTATTCGAGGAAAGAACAAAGGCTTGGGTAAAAGGGATGGGCTAACAAAAGGGCCGAGGGCGTATGCAAACATAGAGGCGCGTGTACCGTAGGTGTGTTTGGGTGGCATAATAATGGAGGCACATAATCGCGTGTTTAGCGTCTCGTCATGAGGCCCGGTCCCGCAGGAACGGTGCATTGCGGCGATCCTCTATTCGGCAATGATAAATTGACAGTGAACGCTCGCAAACGCTAGCCACTGAGAAGGATCGTCCGTGTAAAATTACCTTTCAGCTAGTTCTATCGATGCTATGGACATCGAGTCACCCGATCCTCCTCGAAATCGTTGCCAAATTTCATCCTCCTTTAACTCCTCGACTTCTATATAATATTTGTTTGTTCTTGAAAAAAAAAAAAAAAAAAAAAAAAAGAAAAGAACACGATCCTTTTTTTTCTCCGTGTCCGGTCCATAGCACAAGCACCATAAGCGCGTCAATTGAAAATCGTCGAAGGCAAATGGACGGCATAAATAGCCGCAGTTTGTTAAATGTTGCAGGTAAAATCAGGCCGGGCAACGATTTTACGGAATCGAGTATGTGTGCAACGGGGCGTACGGTTGAAGCGTATCGACAAATACGGGAGTTACAGAGGGCCGAAGTGCAGATGACGTGCTGCATTGTACTTTATTGTCCGCCATTGTGTTGCAAATCCAAACAAACGGACGGCAGAGCGATTTGTTTATGAATGCAGCCTTACCGCGGCATACATATTTGCATAGCCTGGACGATGTTCCGCTTTATTAGCGTGTCGGGAATTTAACGCGTCCTCGGTAATGTCGTTGCGATTCCCGCGGGGGAATAACGGCTTTGCCGTACGAATCGACAGGTTTTCGACGTGGCAAAAATTCGTCCAATGAATTCTGCCACACCGCGCGCTTATCTAACGAATTTAATCGAACGCGAGAACGTCCTGCTCGTCCATAAAACACACGGTACGAAACTATAAAAATAGTCACGCGGCAGCGTACAACTTTTATCTTACTTTTATTCGCAAAATTAACCCGATTCGATGACGAATGTCGTAACTCAAAAAGAGGGAAGTTCGTAAGCGACTCGCAGAGGAAGTCGAAGAACTGTGTAAAAGTGTTTGCGTTCGTCTGCGAAGATAAACGAAATACTCCTTCGACGAGTTTGAACGGAAAGCGAAAATTTCTGAAGCGTCGCTCGAGAATATTACGAGCCTTTAAACTGGACGATTCATAGGAGCGTAAAACTCCCAGAGAAACATGTACAGACATTTCCGTGATCGGAAATCGAGTTTAAAAGTAAATGTAAGAGCGAATGAATCGAGGATGTTACGGATAAATTGTATTCTCCTCGGTGAAACGTTGCATACAATTTTTTAGATCGATTCTTATTTGATCATTTATCCATTTGCTTCGTTCGATTGTTGGAAATAAAACCAAAGGTGTTTAATATTTGAAACTAGGAATCGTCGAATATCGCAGATTTCAATTGATCGCGGTTGTTCGTTCGAGTCCACCATACGGTTCAGGAAATTTGTCAAACGCCGTATTGTGCGTTCATTAGCTGTATTTTCTCTAAACGATGTGTTTAATTATTAATAAACTTCCGCGCTTTGATTGAAATCTGCAAAGCATCGATGCACTAATTTCACTCTGGCCCACTGTTTATTGTATCCGACAATCAGCTCGGTGCAGTCATTTCCAGCAAACGTTAAGCCTCGAATTGACGTGGGGGTAATTGGTATTTCACGACACCTTGATGTTTGTAAATCGTAAAATTTCTGGTTAAAGGTGGCATGTTTTTGGGACATAAATCGGCTTCCTCGCGAGCACGCAACATCGAGCATCGCTGACAGACCCGTTGTTACCTTGTATCATTGTAAAACATGCCTTGAGATCATAATTCATTGAGATTTAACGCTGAGAAGCGTCACACGGGTGAATATCTTAACCGGAAACTGGAACTTCCGATGTAATGTATACAAGTGGAACGCTCGGTTGCACCAGCCACGCTTTCTCTTTGAGAACTTCATCCCTTGATCCTGTTTCGTGGTCAACTCCACTAAGTTCCAGCCGCGTTCTCATTTAAATATCTATACACGACCGCGTGTAACAACAGACCGCACTGGAATTCCGCGATTGAGTAATTACGTGATTCGGCTACCTTCGAATTAGCTGTTCCACAGTGCATGTTTCTACGCGATCGCTTGGTTACCTATAATTTACCTCCGTTACCTTTAAGTGCCGTGCGTCGCCGACCTTCCGGACAGATTCTTGTTACGTACTTTCAAACAACAAGTTTGATAAAAAGAATTATACTAATTTTGAATTGGTTTGATTGACGAACGATCCAGTTTTAGGGTTAAACGAAAAGGAGGATCGATCGGCGGAAGGGGAAGAAAATAAATGCAGCGTGTCAGAGGTGGGATTAGGCGGGACTCGGTATAATTACGTGCGTATGTGGTGAGCATAATGCCGGTCGGTTTCTAGGTCGACATTAGAGTTTACTTGGTGTCCATAGCGGCGTCGTGTTACCTGTCTACAGTTAATTAACTTAATTAATGGATTGGCCACACCGTCGGAGTTTACTTAGCGTTGCCCGGCTACGTAGCCGAGCCGGCCAACAAACATCAAAGATAAATCGTCCAAGTTCCGGAAGGGCCTATTGAGTAACGCTCCTTACGGATAAACAGCGGGTCGTGTCTTTGTAAGAAGTTTCAATTGCAACCCCGCGCCGCTTTTCCACCCGAAACGGACGTCATTGTTACATTGTGAAAAAGAAAGACAGTAGTAGTCGGCTCTTTCGTTGACCGACTCGAGCGATCTCCTTTCCTTCCTGCAGACTGGGGAAAATTAATACGTCCAGGACAATTAGCTCCCTCGTTATCCTTTTCATTCTGCAACGTTCCGTGAATCATTTAGATCTTAATTGACTTTTGTTTTCATCTCTGCCAGTCGTGCAGCTGAGATTCCACTGATCGCAGGATAATTTCGGTTTCCATTGTAATCGTCGTAGGGGAAGAAATACAAGGGTTCGGTGACCGCGATAGTTTTCGTTTCTCTCGAAAGAAAGAAGGAAAATTGCGTTTTCCAGCGATCCCGCGAAGTACACAAGAGAATCGAGATCCTCGGGATTTTGTCCTAAGCGTGCCATAAATCGAAAGTTTTCCGCTCGCCGCAATCGTACGGCAAATCGGATTATGAAATTGAATAGTCCCGAAGGCGGTCGTTCTGTCTTTCTCTTTCTCTGTCTGGCTAGGTCGGTGGAAAAGAGAGAAATTTTTTTACCTTCCGGCTGTACGCTCGAGATCCGCCAGCTCCGCAATTTATTTCTCTTCTCCCTTCGATCTCGCTGTTTCAAGCATCGCCCGATAGATACGCGATATTACGTTAAGCAAACAGCGTAACAAATAGAGAATGAAATCGAACCGAGCCGGGGCGCGTTCACCGGATTCGATCGTAATCCCGGCCATAAATGGCTTCGAATCGGCCAAGCTTTTACCGTGAAAACGCGTTTCCAGTCAGCTACCGATCGAATCACGAATCAAGGGATTCCGTGTAAATGCTCTTCCAGCAGGTTTGCGCGTCGACAATCTCTGACAAGCAATAAGCGTCGAAGCTTTCTTCTCGTTCGATCTCGAAGCTCGATCGACCACGAACGCCGAGTTATTAGTCGTGCCTTTTCACAGATCTTCTTGCCAATAACAAAATCGTTTGCCGAATCGAAATAAAATAAATCTCCACCCGGCTACTCTCGTATCCTTTGGAACAGATTCGTTATGCAGGACCGGGATTAGCAGTCGTTTAGAGGTATGCTTCGATTTGGGAAATCTATTACAATAGCAAAGTAAAGGGAACCGATGAACGTTCGAACCGGATGGGTAAGCGGAACGGATCGATACCGGGCTTGTGTTCGCTATTGATTTCCATTTCAAATCGGATGCAGTTGTACTGCTTACTGCTTATCGGATACCGGTGTCTCAGGTCAGGTCAGCTTGTACGCCGATGTATTTGCATAGATACGATCTGATTGAAATAAGGTGAACACTCGACTTGATATTGCCAAGTATTTCCTCTTTATACGCTGTGCCGATCATCCGATATCGTGTTCCAAGGAAAGGATAATCGGTTCTTTGCTAACTATCGCGCCTTATATGCCGTGATCGCCAAACATTTTCTTTACCCATCCTCGAGATCCAATATGCATCGGAAAACGAACAATTTATTAACACGTTTACGAAAAACTAATATCCATTCATTTTTCTTAGAACTCGAAAGTGTATTCACTGTCGTCGGAGGAAACTCTTTGTTCAAGAAAGACAATGTTTTCTTTTTGTAGAAAAGATTGTTTTCAATTCTGTTGCATCAAAGCTACAGGAATTATTACAGTGAAAAACTGAAGTCTCCTTTCTTCGAACGTTTGAATACCTTTCTTCTTGACTGAAAAGGATGCTCAATATTTTTAACGCTATAACGTTGCTCCCAAGAGTTTCGATTGTCACAAAAGACTGCTTTTAGATTGTTCTGAAATATTTTCCTTCGTTTGTTCGGCTACCCAGTTCGCAGGTAAATTTTAAACACGTTATCGTCGTTCCATCGTGCAAAATACGTTTCATCGGTATATGGTTCGACGAGGAACGTTAGTTCTGTTGTAACGACGTAAAAGAGTGAAGTTCGCATCGATGCATAAAAAAAAAAAAGAAAAATAATAAAGTTGCACCGTGTGTTCCCGATCGAACAGCCGAAACGATGAAAAACATGCAACCTGTGCCGCTCGTTTTATTCGATAGTTTATAGCGCACCGTTCGTACGATGGAAATATTTAAAATACAAAGGAGAAGACCGATCGTTGTAGAGGGAAAAAAAATGTTTCACAGGCAAACGCGAGCAAAAGAGACGATTTATTAACGAGCAAAGTTTCTCATCTAGCATTCCGTTAAGTAGATATATGGATGTTAGCTTTGAAATTTCGGATGAAATGTGGCCCGGGGTTTTATCGGAGTCCGGGAGCCATTTCATTTCAACCTCTGGCTCGAAACGCTCTTTTTTTCAACGCCATTAAAAATTATACTCGCCGTGCCGCGTATCGCGATTCAAATAAAACCACCGCTTTTTAATCGACTTCGAAAAGGAAAAGTTTACTCGATTCGATCAGAATATTATAATTTTTCTGAGGCCACGAAATTGGTCGATGGGAGTTGGATTAGGATTTAGTAGGTAGAATCTCGGTTCGAGTAAATAAATTGTTAAACCGAGATTTTGCTAAGCCTTCGCCGGTTGAACGTTTCCTGCGAAATCTGATTTTCGTTCCGTATGGTCTGCGATCTGGAATAATGGACGGTTTCAAGCACAAAGGGTGGATGGTTGTTCGGACGAAGCCAACGTCCCTCCTTCCAGTCGGTTCGGCGATCCTTGCGCGGCCATTGCTACGTGTCTGGCATTCCCTATTACCCGCGATCGCTTAATTGATCGTTAACTCGGAACTCCTTCGATAATGAATGCGAATACGCGGCAAACTGGCCGAGAAATTTCGACTTCCCGTGAAACCCTTCCGTTCCTGAATATTTCATGGAAATAATCAACATTCATTGGTTTATGCCTCGAGTTCCGATCCATCCGGTTATCCGGATCCACAACCATCGCGAAGATATTTCATTTCATTCTTCGACGGACCGTGATCGCTCGTTTATCGCGTTCATACGCGCTCGTACGGAACGCTTTTAATAGAAATTTATCGGCTTTCCTACGGAAGATGAGAAAGTAGTTCGTTATTGATAACGACACCAGGAGTATATTTATCGCGTGAATGTTTAATTTGAAGTGTCAAGTGATTCCGTATAATTTATTAAAATACCAGCTTCGCGTTTCGAGATCCAAGAAACTTTCGAAACTCTGTAGTCTTAAAGTCACAAACGATTGTTGCTACCAAGTTGAAAACCTAAATCGCGCTATGGTTCTGCAAGTTTCGGCGAGCTAGAGATTTCTCAGCAGTTCCTTGAATTTTCCATAGAGCCAAAAACCGAGGCTGCGTGTGGCACGGAAGTATCCAACAATGCTGGCTCGTTGCGAGGCTCCCTTGGGAGAGATACCAGCGTGAGATACATGCTAGAGAAAACCATTTTAGAATTGCGTTGTTCGGCGTTTGAATTTCTGAAAACGTTTGTCTCGTCAGACAGACGAGTACGATCGTGCCCGTATTTCTTCTTCTCGTTTTCTAATTATATCGTTTAATTGGCTGATTAAGCGAGCTGGTTCGTTAAAATAAACAGAGCCGATTGAGGAAGTAAAATCGATAGGAATAAAGCAGGAGGTGGCTGGAAGCGGGCCAATTTTTCGAATAATTCGTAGAATTTCTGAGTTGGAGCAGCGTGCGACCGGTTGCAAGTGACGGCCCTCTCTGCTTACTGCAACCCCCGCAGACCCTCTCTATCGGATTCCGATCGTTCATTCGCATTACGCAGAACTTTTTACACGCTTACCGATGAACGACCTCTCCCATTTTTCACAGCGCTCATTTAAATACGAAGATTTGTAATTTCCATTCCGGGCGAGCGCACTCGATCGTCCTGGAGCCGACGATCCTGATTTCCTGAACCATTCAATCGTCCGAGCGAAAGGGGAATTGGAAACGATCGCACTCGATCAACCTTTAAACGGCCTATATTAATACCAGTTTCATGAAAATTACGCGAACGACCAATCGGCTATTATTGCTCCATTCGACTGCCCTTCTAATTGTCGCCATTTTTTATTACCCAATGGTACCTATTCACTTTTTTCGATATAATCATTCGCGCTACCATTCGCATTAAGGGTTTAAAAGTAACCGGATGGGATGGAATATGGATTTTTCTGATGGAACGTTACCATAGCGAAGGTATTAACAGTATTATCGAACTTATTTCTCCTCATAGTTTGTATTTTGCTGTTGTTAGAAAAAAAAAAGAATGAGTTTCAGGTAGAATTGGAAGTTGCAACGAATGAGACGTCAACGAGAGGAACGCGACATTCCCTTGAACTCACGCTCGAAAGCTCACGAGTCAGTGTGCAGCGACATGCAAAATATTGCGCACAAATGCACTTCGACTTTTTGTCTCCTTCCTCTTTCTTCTTTTCCCATTTCTGTCATACCTCAACGATTATTTCAACGTAGAAAGCACGTTGGCCATGCTGAGAGCACCACTGTTTAATCATTCTTAATTTCTTCTTCGTTCTTTCATTATTAAAAATTGCTTCCTTTCAATATCAGTGTAAAAACAATTGCTTACACGAGGGAATTTTATTTTTCGGAGTTTTTTTTTATCAGCATTAGTGTACCTTGGTACACGTGGTTGGATATTCCTGTGTTTGAAATCTCTTTTAGTTGCTAGCTTGCGAACGTGATCGAACAGATTAACAGATGCGATTGAACGTTTGATAGGCACTAAAGTGAACACGCAACGATACGAGCGGTAGTTGTTCCTCCGGGAGTCTGTAAACATCAAGCAGGAAGCGATCGATGTAACGCTTCCCGTTCGAACGTAAATCGGATTAAATGGAAAAATGATCTTGCGGAAATATCCTCTTCGTTTCTTGCTTTTAAATCATTTTTCGGTTGAGCCGTTATCGGAGCGGGGAGAAGGTAGCTATTGTCGAGATTGAAGAATGATGCTGAAATGATTTCGAGGGTGTCCTGCGAGGATCTTGTGAGATAGAACCGAGCCCATAAAGCAATCGCTTTAATCGCCCTCGAAGGACGGTTCGACCGACAAGGAACATTAAGTGCATCCACAAAGAAACTAGATACGTCGAACGAGGTTACGAAGTTGGCAACGTTCCTGCTTTTTTCTTTTTCTCTAACAAGGTGAACTATCCAAGTGTTACACTCACTTATTAATGAAACTTTGCCAGCTTGTAGAGCTCGTCGAGCTGAACACGCCTATACCCCTTTTTGGGGGCAGGCGGCTAATTGTTTAAAAGATATTAACAATTACAGTTAGTTACTCCTTACATTCTGAAGTATGACAAACTCACATATACAACTCGCAATCTAAAGATCCACGGTTCAAATCCTTGGTTCCCAACATTTTTTTTTTTTTTAATGATAATTTGTCTCTTTTTGAATAACTATTACATAAAAATTATCATAAAAAAAAAAAAAAAAAAATTGTTGGGAACCAAGGATTTGAACCGAGGACCTTCAGATTGCGAGTCATGGATCCACTCCGTGGTTAAACACATGACTCGCAATTTAAAGGTCCTCGGTTCAATCCTTGGTCCCCATTATTATTTTTTTTTTTTTTTTTTTTTTTTTTAATGATAATTTGTCTCTTTTTGAATAACTAAAATTCTATATACTTCTAAACTAAAATCGAATCGATTGAATGTTTTTTAACAAACTTTATTCCGCCCGTGGAGTTCAGAGAAATGTCAAAATTTCGCGATAAAACTATTTTGGACGCGATGGGCTTAAAAATTGGCCAAGTAGCGCAGCAACGTGTCGAGAAAAAGGACGACAGTCGATTACAAACGGTCGAGCGGTTATCCTGGAAAAATCCTGGTAAAACTTTAAACGCGTTTCTCTCAATTTGACGTTTTCAGACTTTTTGTGCCGGAGAACTTTCTAACTAATCATCGGAATTACTTGAAATTTTACCTTCCTTTTTCATCCGAACAAAAAAAATGTCAAAATATTGATTAATTTTGGAACTCGATAACGGAGCAGAGATTTCAACAGAAATTATTTTTATTTTCAGGGCCCGGGGTACGCAGAAAGCTCATCCTAGCGACGCAGGATTAGGGGGCGTTAAGTAAAAGCTCGCAGGAAATGGAGGAGTTAAGGATATTTTTGCGGATAAAGGCCGGGCGGTAAGTGTTCCTCTTGCAAACATATATTCTGCGGACGTAGGTGGGTCGAGAGGTTTCCGACGTTCCTACGGGATCGTGTAACAAGACCGGTTCCATAAAACGATCGATGTAATCGTTCCCACTGGACAGCGGCAGGAAGGTAAGGTGCACCTTGCGAAAGATCCGCCGCGATGGTGTATAGGCGGCGTCGCTGTTCACCCCTTCGTCCTTCCGCTCCCCGGTATGCCACTTTCCGTGAAATATCACCGTGACTGGACGCAAATTCGTCCGCCATAAATAACAATCGCGCGATTCCTATGCCGTCATAGACCGTTTCGCCGGTTCCGCCTCCTCGCCGCTCGTCTACAGCTTCGATCGCAGCTGCTGCTTTTAAAACCTACAGCCGTGGATCATTCAACGGATAAAACGAGCTTTATAAGTACCAGTTGTGTACTCGATGTCTGCTCCTTCTTATCGTCGATACGCGATTCATTTCGCGTAGAATTCGTAAGGGTAGGAAAAAAGAAACGCACCGATTTCACTATCGCTCTAACGATTTATCAAAGGGAAGATCGTGGTTTCTAAAATTGAAGAAAGGCGAAATTACCTCCTGCCCGTCAACCCTTACGCAGGAATATAGCCTGAATGAATCGATGAAATATTATTTCCATAAATTTCTTTCATCCCACGGGGTTATATATTTTTCTTCGGGCCGGTACCCCTTCTTCCGAAGTCGAACTCGAGGAAAACCGGCGGTGGTGAAAAAGAAAATTACTCGAAATCGATTAGCATCACGGGATATGGAACATTAATCATACCAGGCGAACGTGTTTCCCACAAAATACGCATCGCTGAAGTGAAGAAACATGCTGACACCCTGCACGATAACTGACCCCATAGATTCTTAACGCTTCAACGCAGGATGGTTCGTTAAACTCTTCGAATCATTTTCTACAAGTAAGTTATTATTACATTGTATTTTCGAATTCACAAAAGCAGAAAGTCTGTAAATGCTTGCACGAAACCTCGCGTCCTGGTCTTGCGGCTCGCAAAAACACGTAGGCAAATTTGTTCCCTTCTGCCGCCAGTAATCTATGAAGCCATTACCCCCGTGCACATATAGGTACAGTTTAATGGCCTAAGGCATTTGTACACTTCAGTGTATCGCCGGTCGGACGTAAAGGATGGGAACATTCGCGATTTTTATTCAAAGCGGACAGTTACGTGTTTCGTCTTGATTGGATTTCAAAGGATCGGTGATAAAATTCGTGTTTGATTATTTCTAATTAAAAGTAACGTCACGAAGAAGAAATATTTCCCCATTACGTTTCCGGCAAGGAAGCACTGATCGATTAATTTTGCAGCACTGTTCGAGGAGATTCAACTTCCGTATAATCTTCTTCCTCTCTTACGTCATTTCTTGCCTGACTCGAAGGAAATTCATAAATTCAGCTCGTTCGTTTATCCGCTGTATAAATCCACTAACTACAGATTTCTCTCGGTCGATCGATCGTCGATCGGGCATGAAATAAAAATTCAGTTACATTGTAAATTATAATCGTCCGGATAGAGAGTAATTAACAGAAATTAACAGACCTTCGAGAAATGGGACGACGATTTTAAAAAGAGTGATCTTCTTTCTTTGATTGGATACAAGAAATGACAGACTTGATAAATTTATTTGAAAGTTTTATGCCTATCGATTAAGTCCCGTGTAAACATTTGTTATTACATCATAAATATACATGCTATAGAAAGATGGAGTAGCTGTCGAATCGATCATTTCGAAATTTCATTCTGTCAAGCTTTCATCGTGTCGTTCGTCAAATTTTCACTTGCTCGCTCCGTTTTCCTTTCGCTATATTTCCTGTTCAAACGGTTTATCTTCGTTTATTTGTTGAACAATCGAAGCACCACCTGAATCCGTCAGTCTTGTTCCCCTTTTTTCAGTAAGTTAATCGAAAACATTTAAAATCGTACGAAAATATTGTTCTGCAAACAAAAAGTACCTTTTTCTTGCCACAGATATATTATTTTGTACTACTTAAATAAACTGTGGATTTATTCGTGCGTATATCGATAGGCTATCGGCGGAAATAAAAAGTAATCAGTGTTACACCACTTGAAAATTTTCAATGAAAATTCCATCAATAAGGCAGTGATTAATCGATGAAAGTTAAACAATCGGTTTTACAGGGAGGGCTGCAAGCGTTTTTCATTCCTTGTCAATCTCCTTGCAAGATGGATTCAAGCTATGAAGGATTGTCGTTAACCCTTTCTTGCTCTTCTCAGTCTCCTCTTTCTTTTCGCGACGAGAGAAGCTACTCGAGCCGGAAGCCAAAGTTAATGGTTTTCGCGTCTCACGGTTTCCTTCCACCGTCACATTATTTATTGACCCCCGGTGTTCATCGTTTGCGCTTTTACGTTCTGTTTTAAAGGACTATTCAACGAAAGTGCTTGTACCTTATCTATGACGAAAGAAGATTCTCCTTTTACATGGGATTCTTTAAAATAAATGAAAATTTTTTGATAAATTATACGAACGTTATTCATTGTTCTGTTGCGCTAAAGGATTTTATTAAATTCAAGTAACCCCGTTACCAAGGGATGTTAAAATTTAAAACTTTCAAAGCTCCCAAGATTTATTAATACATTTATGATACTCGTGATCGGGAAATCTTCGAACTTTGAATGAAATTTGAGAGGTTTCACAATTTCCCTTGCAAGAAGCTGAAAGAACCTAAAAATATTAGCTGTTCTGATTTTATGGTAGCTTCCATAATACAAAGGATCTCGTAGTGATTTACGTGGCCTGAATTCTTTGCTTGAACCTTGGAGGAATGCACGAAAAATCACTGATAGAAAATTCATAGTTATTCCGTTCCTTCCAAAAAACGCATATTTCTCTGAGAGTAGAAAAAAGGAAAACGCAAATAAAACTCTAAACCCGCAGATGCAGCTCGCATGGAAAATCCAGTTACGTTTACAAAACGCAATTTTTTCCGTAATTGTTACCGTTGGCAACGAAAAACAAAAAAAAAAAAAAAAAAAAATAAAAGGAGAAAAACAAAAAAAACGGTCGACCACTTTTTCCATTGTTTAGCGCAAAAATAGGAAAGGATGATTACGCGGAGGAAAGGGAATAAAAACGCTACCCCGTAGCTGGTTTTTATCAAAACAGCAATCAAACTGGAAAAGCTGCTTTTCGTTCGCTTGATGGTAACTAGATATTTCGCCTTTCAAACGTAGATGCTACTTTGCTAAAAAATTAGAAGCAAATGACGTGGCAATTGCTTTCAGTACATGGGGTATCGAGAAAGTTTTAATAATATCTTCTGTTCAAAGCGGAAGCTCGTTGCTTCAAGAAACTCCATTTATATTCTATGAAATATTTATGAAAAAAGTATTGCAACTCGAATGATCCATAAATTAAAGAAAATTCACATAAATAAATAAATTCGCCTCGATCCTTTCTAACAATCGGTTTTCTTGTCAAGCTTACTGCTTCGGATAAGATGAATGAGACCCGGACCTGAAACGTCTGGATGAAAGAAACGGAGAGTATTATTCCCGTGATTACTCGAGACAAACATTATCCTGAAGGATGACGGGGAGGAAACGCTGAAACCTTGAATAGTAATTGTAAGTTCTCTCTGAGGGCGATCTACAATATCTCCTTTTCATTTCACTTTTCTCCACCTCGTCCCATTCATTCCTTCCTCCACGTTTCTCATCTTTGATGAAACGATTACTCTTATGTGAAAGGATCTGATGTTTCAACGAAAATCCAGTAATTTCTGGCTGGGTGGTCGTCGGGTTCGCCGAATAACTAGATAATTCACGGTTAAACTAATCGGTTTAATTGGTTAATCTTCGCGATCCACTTTTAATCGAATCATTTGTGCTAAACCGCTCGAAAGAAAAACCATCTTTCCTTCTTTACTTCCTGAATTTGAATTCATATAGATATATTTTATGGATAGGCAGGAATTGGCAGCGTTTTAGAGGAAATTAAGATTATACGCGACTTCGTTTTATGTAAAAAAAAAGCAGCGAGAAATGATTTCCCAAGCGCGTTTCCATTGAACTCGGCGCACGTTGCGTTGGGAGGTGAAAGGTAAGAAAACAGATGTATTAATAAGGAAGAAAAAATGAAAAGTAGGATGTGAAAACTGACCTGAAAAGTTGAGAATTTGGTATTTGGAAAAGGGGAATGGTTCCATCTTTTCTTTTTTAAACAAATAGGAAACTATACGCCGTAAGAGCAATTTAAACCCAGTTTCTTGAAAGGATTCGAACGGGAACACGTGACAGCAAGTACAGCAAAGGTCTGAAGTTCAATTTCGCGGATTATGTTGGAGATAACTGTTGGGAATCGCAAGGGGTAGTAAAACGCGATCGTGAAGCTTCAAATGGGTCACCGTTATGAAGATGCAAGTTTGAAATATGCAAAAAACGAATGTCCTTTCTACCTATAATACTTTATGCATTCGAATCTCCAGATATTACGATGCTTTTTTCTGCAAGTAAGTTTGCAGGTTTTATCGAGCAGGAAGTTGCTGTGAAAAGTTTAGGAAAGGATGAGTTAGAAATAAATGACGCTGCTTGTCACTTGTCAGATTGCTTTATTGATCGTAAAGTGTAACATTATTTCATCAAACGTTAAAGCTAATTTCTTGGCGCAGAAATTTCTTTCTCATCCAGCAGGAACGACCGAAAAAAGGAAAGTTTATCGGATCGGTAGCTGGGTTGGAAATAGTTTCTTGAAGTGTTACGAAAGAAAATTCTGGTATCGTTATCACGGAAAATACCTGTTCTCAGCCAAACTGCTTCGAAAGCTTCAGCGAAATATTTCGAGCTTTTTATATTCCCGCTCGGGTTTCTTTCCACGTCTGAAAATTCCAAAACGGCTCGCTTTATGGAAATGTCTCTCGAACGGGCGAAAGCCATTTCGTTAAGCTGCTGCTTCCAGCAATTTTTAGCGCGGAAAAATTTAGCGACTCCTCATTTCCCTTTGCTTGCTCTTCCCTCTATTCCTCCTCTCTCTTCTTTTTTTATGTTTCTTTTTTTATCTACTCTTTACAATCCTTCATCTTCTTCTCGGCGTTTCTTGATTCTACCTTAATAAAGCATCGCCGAGCTCTTCGTGTATTGTAGCTGGAAAAGCTAGGAAACCTGGTACGTTTCTGCACGACATATTCCACTTTTTCTTCCTCTATTCCTCTCTCTTTCGTCAATTACTCGGCCGCGACAAGCTACTCTGCTCTTTCGCTCGCTAGCCACTAGTTTCTCTTTCATCCTCTTCGTTTAACCGTACCAGTCCATTTCCTGAAATCCACTTGACTCGATCCGTTCCAAGGTGAACGACACGTGCCACCGTCAAGTTTCTGATAATTTAGCTATGATAAAATTCATTTGAAAACACAATCATACGTTGATGAGAATCTTTGATCGCGTCAATTTACTTTAACATTCGTACGGAGAGATTTTCGTTTAAAATTCTATGAGAAATCGGTGTCCCCGATTGCCGGTTGAAAATGAAGTTTCACCGAAGAAAGGGGAAGTTTCAGGAATAATTGTTGCTTGTTTCAGGGAGGAAAACGCGAAGAATTTGAAGGAGAAGCATTAAAACGTCTGCTCGGTCGGAAGGTTTCAACGACGTTTGCTGGCGTGCACGCGCAAACTGTTGCACCTTACTGCTGCTGCCGTTGCAGCTGCAGTATGCATTTTGATTTCGACTTCTGCTCAACACGGTTGCGGGACGTGCTGCAATTACACCATGCACAAACGTAGTTATGGAACTAAATATACGTTTGAAAGTAAGTTTGACTAACGCTTCACGATTTCGACGGGAACAGGGCTTTTAATTTTGTTCCAGTTTGCGGTACGTACCGCAATTTCTATCTTTCCCCAATACCATCAGCCGTTTAAACGCTCGGTATTGTTTCAAATACGATTCAGAATTCTAATGGTTAGATTGTCGATCGAGCTAACGTGCGGAACGTTTGTTCACGCATAAATCACGACGGTTTAACGTGAATATTAAAATTGATTAGAAAGTGTATCAAACAATTTCCCGGGAAAGATAATTCGTCGCGACGAGTTCGACGAATGGCGGAGGAAAAATCGAGCAGAGGTATTAATTTCATTACAGTGGCTCGATAATCGTTCCATTATTGCTCGATACGCTCCCGTCGATTTTATACCCGTTTTAGCCTGGAAATGGGATTACCAGCGGTTTCGTGGAGAGACAAATAAAAAAAAAAAAAAAAAGGAGAATATCCCAAAAAATTCACCGCAGCCAATCTACGAGTGGCTGGTACCGGTTGAAAATCGATTGCAATTGGAGGGATCGTTAACGAGTAAGAAAGAGAAAGGGTTATGCGTGTTCTCTGTTTCTTTAAAGGGTGAGCATCGTCGAATATCCTGATCGAAGAACAAACGAACAGTTCGAACGAGCTTTACGGCTTTCACGCCAATCTCTCTGGCTGTCTATTCTGCTGATAGTTTCCAACGACAAGCTTGCTTTGTATTCTTCGTTGTCTTTCTTTTTGTCTCTGTTACCATTCAAAGGCAAACGTTAAATATTTGTCGCTGCAGTTGAAACGATTGGTTAATTCGAGATTTTTTTACAAAAGAATGAAATTTTCATTCTTAACAGGTATCTTTCGATTTTTCATGAAAAAATGACAGAGAAACGGCGCCTACGAAGCTAGGTGGGTAAATGAAATTACCGTTATTATCGTTCGAAAAGAGAAGCAGAGTCTCGCAAGAGTACGAAAGGGCGTGCTTCATATTCATGGTAATTGGCTGAGCCGTGGGTGGCCGGGATGTCGAGCGTAGTTTATAATTAATTCATTGGATTAAATTTTGCTTCACGTAGCTAGTATGCATTACCAGCGTCCTGGGTGTATGCACCTTGCCCTCGCAACTACTCCTTCCTTCCTACCCCGGTTTCCGTCCGATCGACCACTTTCCCTTAGTCTTATTAGTGACTATAGATCCAAAAAGATCGTTTTAAAAATGTATCAATTTGATTTATTAGAAAATTTGTTGCGCAGGATCCGCTATTATTTTATGGAAACTTTGACCCTTGTGCAGTCCTAAACCGTAAGAGATTTAATAACGAAAGAGTAGATGAAGCACTCTTAATGATGATGTAATTAGTTTTTATGTATCCCTTAAAAAGTGTCCCTTAATAAAGATTTTACTTGTTTCCAGATGTTCTTTTTAACAGATTTTATTGTACTATCATTGTAAGTGTATACATATAACACTTTTATGTCTCAGCGTCACTCACAGACATGTATCTGCGTTATTAAAAGGAAGGATTTGCTGTATTTATCTTCTTAGCTTATTGAATAAATTCATTAAAACCATGAACGTGTTGATTTTATTACATCTGTGTGCCTCGCCTATTATTTTATCCTTTTATTTATTATTTTACCCCTATTTTCGGGCCTCGCGTGGACCACCCTCCCAAGTCATTTATTATTTTATCCCTCTTTATGGGCCTCGGCTAAACCTCCCCAGTTATTTATTATTTTTTTGTCTTTAAGGGCCTCACGAGGCCCAACCCTTTATCACTGCATCCCTTACATGTCTGCATCCTTAACATCCCTGTATCCCTTATATCACTACATTACCTATATTCCTGCATCTCGTATATGCCAGCATTCCTTATACCTCGGCATACCTTACATCTCTGTACCCTTTATATCTCTGTATCCCTTACATCTCTGTACCCTTTATATCTCTGTATCCCTTACGTCTCTGTACCCTTTATATCTCTGTATCCCTTACATCTCTGTATCCCTTACACTCCTGAATTCTCCCTACATCTCTTGTATCCTTTCAACCCTTATAATAACTATATAAATAATATACTTATGGCCACTGGTTCGAGTAAAGGTAAGTAAAGGTGATTAAAGGTAAGTAAAGGTAAGTAAAGGTAAGTAAAGTCTCGTGAAAAATAATTTTAAATTTAAATTTTTGCACAATTTAGTTCCCTTTTTTACCGCCAGAGGGCGCTGATTCGACATCGAAAATTTAGTTCACATTTTTGCCGCCAGAGGGCCAAAATCTTGGCATGGTTTAGTTCTTTTTTTCGCCACCAGGGGGCGCAAAATTTCGATGTCGAATCAGCGCCCTCTGGTGCCGAAAAAAGGAACTAAATCGTGCCAAAATTTTGGCCCTCTGGCGGCAAAAATGTGAACTAAATTTTCGAAGTCGAATCAGCGCCCTCTGGTGGTAAAAAAAGGAACTAAATTTTGCAAAATTTTGCAAAATAATGGGATGCTTACAAAAGGGATGCATGGATGCAATGGATGCAGGGATGTAAGGGATACAGGGATGTAAGGAATGCAGGGATGTAAGGGATGCATGGAGGTAAGGAATGCATGGAGGTAAGGAATGCATGGAGGTAAGGAATGCATGGATGTAAGGAATGCAGGGATGTAAGGGATGCAGGAATGTAAGGGATGCAGGGGTGTAAGGAATTCAGAGATATAAGGTATGCAGGAATGTAAGGAAAGTAGAGATGTAAGGAATGCAGGGATGTAAGGAATGAAGGGATGCAGGAATGTAAGGAAAGCAGAAGAAGTAAAGGAATTTTTTTTTTTTTTTTTAACGTGGGGAAATCTTGCATAAGACCCCCCACCGACCTTTGGGGAAAGGCGGCGGGGGAGTGTCAGATTCTTACTGACTAAAACCCCACGGCGACCGACACTGGAGCTAATCAAGTGGTCATCATTCAACGAACGTCTTAAAGTTAACGCAATTAATCTTTACTTTGAATTTTTAACAAAAATTTGATGCTCGATCGATACTGTGATACTATCATTGTAAGAGTACACATATAACATTTTCCTGCCTTGTTTTCAAACGACATGTTTCCGCGTTATTAAAAGGTAGGATTCGTATCTTTATACGGGTTGAAATCATTGTGACAGGCAGCGCTTTGATTAATCCTGTAAAGGGATGAAAGTATAAGAATAATAATTTCCCTATAATTAAATATTACGATACAATTTTTGGTATGCTGCAAATTATCAATTTCGCCTGGCGCGTTAATGCTTTGATTGTCGTGTCGGATCGCTCGTATTTCGATGATACGCGAATAATTTTGTTAAATGTTTAAAAGCGTGCTTAACGACGAGGTATATAATTTTACGAGTGGAACGTTTAACAATTGCAAAACGATGTCGTAAAGATCGATTCATACTTTATAATAATTCAACTCGAGATACATTGTTCGGAAAAGAAAGAGTTTATTGACAGCGAAGCAAAGGTTAATTGAAACAATACGGTGTTAAGGTTAAGATTGAAATAAATGAAAAATGAAGAAGGCGGCTCGAGGAGTATCGTAAAAAGTGGAGAATCGTTTGAAGAGGTTCGTAGCACCTTTTGTGCGACGGAGGTCGAGAAGCGTTGAAGCGGGCCAACGTACCCTTGATCGCGATGAAACGTTCCAAAGAGATGCAAATCGATCGCTCGTAACGTGGCTGCTACGAGCATCGCTACCCTGTCCAACGAATCCATCCTGCGACCTGAATTTCCGATTATTCCGACCAACTGATCGCGTCGAAGGGAATCCACCTTCCTTCTGGATAACGCGTAAGAGAAAATAAACAATTTAGTTCGTTAAATGAAGTATATTTTACCGTTAGAAAAAAGGGGGAGAAGGAAGAGTAAAATAAAATTCTACGACAGGTCTGGTAATTAATGTCCCGATCATTAGTTCAAGAAAACTTACACAAGTAATTAATTACCGACGCCGTAACCTTAATTAACGAGCCGTTAAAAGATTTCCAGCGAATTGCTTTCCAGCTTCCATCGAAAAATGGGTATCGAGAAACGTGAGCGAGCACGACATAGCAAAGGAAACTTTGTATCGGCTACGCTTCGGAACGAAGCACAAAAGAAACATCCTGAAGAATTGATTACGATGAAATGTTCCTAAAGAAACGCAAATGGATCGTCTCGCTTTAACAAAGAAACCTTAATGTTCGAAATGCTTCGGGCGTTGAAAAAGTTTCGGTTATTATTGTGTTTTCAGCCAGTGAAATTTATAACGGATTCCGTGTTCGATGATACACTATTGATAGGAGAGAATATCCGAAGAGAACTAATGGGCTGAAAATTTTTCATGACATTCGCGTTAATATCTGCGCCCTCGACGGATCATTTTGTCAGCATTTCGCTTTGAACGCAGTCAGCGAACCTAGATTTTCAACGTTAACAGCAGGAAATTATTGGAAACGTAACAATCGAGATGTGACCTGTTCTTCTTTAAATATGATACTGCATCGCGAGGGAAAAAGCGTGGAGGGCTTGTAAAGTTGGCTGCTATAAAATTCTACCTGTTTGCTAGCAGGTCGTCATAAATAAATCATGCGACCATGCAAATCAGAGAAGATCCCCTTCCATCGGTAAGTACACCCTGTGTACGTATTCTTGCCGCGCCAGTCGACCGCCTATACTTTTATCGATATATTCCTTGAATCGAGTACGGGTAAGTCTCTAAAGCGAGCGTGGTAAAGCTGGAAAATCGTATAGGATATGTTGATTAACTTTCTTTGAAGGAAACACGTTTACCACTTGGAATATTGATAGAAGATTTTGCATAGCGATTAAAGGGACTTTAGAGTCCCTTAAAGGGTTAGTGGTTCCATGACCAGTGAAGGAAAAGTATATTTGGACGGATAAATTTACAGTTTAGGAAAGGGATGATTATTCTGTCGATCAAAATCCATCCTCTCACCCCGGTTTTGTTAAACTCGTCCGTCGAGAGTTTGATAACCGTCGCTCGATAAAACTATCTCGACTGTTTTTCCCCTCGTTCCGAATTTCGGCTGGTTCACAAGGACCGTATGGATCGGAAAGAGGAGAGAGAGAGAGAGAGAGAGAGAGTTGGTGCAGCTAGTGGTTCCTGTTCGAGGACTTTGGAATAAGTTTCGAAGCGTTTGAAGAACTGAAGCGACAAGTTACTTCGTTTCCACAACCTTGCTCTGTCAGCAAACCCTTTACCGTCCCACTCTGCCCGTTTCCTCATTCGGCGAATAAAGCAAACGCTTATAGCTGGCTCGTGAAAAGAGATAATTTATCTCCGTTTGCGTTACCCTGATTTTCTAATTTGTCGAAACGTTCAAGCGGAACTCCTTTCTTCCGATATTTCGAAGAATTACCATCTGCAAAGACCGTTTCACTTTTGATGAAGATAGGAAAACTGTTGGTATTGCGGCTAATTGATACGATCGCTATCAATTCGGTTCATATTCAAAGGTTGCACGAATAGGAAGATGAAGAGAGAGAGAGTGTGGGAAACGAAGATGAGGAGGAGGACACGTATGAACACGATTCAAGCCGGTGAATAGGGGGTGGCTCCAATTATGCGACCACTCGAGCGGTTTCGTGTCCAACATAACCGTTTTCCGAAAGTGCCGTTTCAACGTTCGCCCCGTAATTCTGCCGGTAAATGTACACACATAGACCTAACGTGTTCCTCGGATTCGATACCGGCTCGCGAAACTTTAGCCCCGAGTTGAAAGGAAAGGGGGTGCTATTAGCCTGCATACGGGCAGCTTCCGGTGGTGCACTTAATGCAATTACCGGCAAAACTCGTGGCAAGAACGGTTTTGCTCGTTCAACTTAACCGAATGAACGAAGGAGCGCCGAATCTCTCGACCCTCGAAACGGATTCGAGACTTCTCGCTTCGTTAAATGGTAACAAGCATTGTCTTTGAATCGCAGACCGATCGATGTCGAATAGTAACGATCTTCGCATGAATTTATTAAGAAAAACTGACCTCCATAGCGTTTAACGAGTTAATCAATTCAGGTTACTCTCGCGACAAGCGTCTTCGTTGAAGAAAATTTAGTAATCTAGGAAAAGCGATATTAAAAAAATCGTGCTGCTGTTGCATAACTGCCACAGAACACGTAAATCGTGTGGCTAAAAATAAGGAGCGTTTTAGATCCCCGGGATATATAAGGTGTTTTAGAACAAAGATTTCGCGTGTAGAATTTGCAACAACGGAATAAAGGGTTGGAAACAAAATCAATTTCCTTTCTCCTCTCGGTGTTTTCATTTACTCTACGGCTAGGAGGCTGTCGTAAATCCAATGAAAAAAATCTCCATTGATATTAAATTTGTCCAACGATTTGCATACTCTTCCAGACACGAGAGGCGCTTTAACGCGATATTTAAAAGAATTTGGAGGATCGTAGTCACGGAACGGTTAACCCAGCTCGAAAACACGTTACGGCCGGCTATGAATATTCCATTGGGGCAGGTAGCGTGTATGCCAGGTGGTGTAGGCAAATAGGTAGCTGGGTGGTT